CAGCTGAGATGAAAAAGACAGTGTCCATGGGTAACGGTAGGTAGCTGTTTAGATCTAATACGGAACTAGTGTAAAAAGACAGTAGACAGAGTAATTTCGGTATGTATGCATCTTTAGTACACACAGGATAAGACTGCTAGAATGATGAGTAAAGCACGCTGGTTTGAAACTCTCTTTGGTTGAGGGACAAAGAAACAAACCATTTTAGACCTCATTAGTTGCTGAATATGCAGTTGCAGCATCAAAATAGAAAATCCACTTCTTAGTGAAGTTTTAAATAACCTGAAGTCTCGGGTTGGTGTCATGATGTGCCAAGACCAATAATATATAACGTGCTGGCATCTTAAACTTAAGTAAATGGAATCAAGTATTAAGCGTGGTATGGAAGCCGCATATTATTTCATTTTACCTAGTCTGTGATTGTCCCAGACGAAAAATTCGACGATACACTAAGTTGCTTTCTAAGATTCTCGCACATGTTAACAGCTACCACTAGTGAACAGCGAACTTGAGATAGATAAATTTTAGATCTGATGTCGGACAATACAATCCTGTCAAGTGGATGTATGCTGACAACATATAGTTTTCTGAACACGAATGAAGTTTAGGATGGGTTCCGCACTTCCTGATAGCGTGTTATTCAAGGTGTAAATAGTGTCAGTGCAGTGTTTAACTTGATGAAGCACACTTGACTGAGTGTTTCGGGCGTAACTGATCAAAACTTCAGTAAACAGGTCTAAGAGGATTTTTGTTACACACCATTGTTAGGGATGCATATATCCCTTACATTCCATACTCACAGTTCGGGCATGTTTGAACCGTTTTACCTCGCGCTCTTTTTCCCACGCATATTTCGAATGACCCGCTGGTTTTCTGATTGACTCCTGCCTCTTTAAAGGTACTAATTATTCCTTGTTTTTTAAGTTTAGTGTAAACTCTATAAGTAGGATCTGTTTTCCCTCATAAACGTTTTCAGTCTGAGATACTATAAACTTATCTGAATACTTTTTTCGAATCATCTCAACCCTCGACCACCAATTGTTAAGTATTTTCATTCGTTCATTCGCTTTAGTATGGATTTTTGTCATACTTGTGTGCAAATAAACATCAAGGATAGGAAACATGTATCTAACAACTGATACCACAGAGCATTGCTCGAACCTAATGGAATTACCACACGAGCAATGTGCGCGCCAGATACATGAAGTCAGTTAGTGGAGTTACGAATCATTGATTAGTATGGCTGGGAAATGCATTGTACGTATCGACCGACCGCCTAACTTGATAGACAGTATTATTTGCAATCAGTGGTCAGGTTGGATAACAGGTAAGGTCAAACAGTCACCTAACGTTGCAAAACTCTGATAAAGTGTACACATTTTGAATCTCAGTGTTGATAACCGTTGAAAAAAAATCCCTTAAACTTTTGGGAATCTTTAATGAAATAAGCGATATCCTTAGGATAAACGAATGTGAGACGATTAGGGAAATAAAAAGGTGATAGCTGGCCATTTCATTGGATCATTTGAGTAATACGAATTGATTATAGGTACATACCTTTAACCACACTTGTTTTGAGAAGCCGCTTATAGTATATTCCGATTGCATAGGATGTTGGTGAACAGGATATGGGAACTAAGACGTTGGTCAATAGTTAGCTCTCTTCATTTCCGCCCTCGAGTAGAATCTAAAAGAGAAACGACGAGTTGGGCGTCCAGTGACATGGAGATCGTGTGAGGAAGAAATAAATTTATATGGGCAGTCGTGGAGCTAGGTTCAAAAGACTGCAGAGAACGTGCTACTGAGGCCTTATGTTCCACTAGGAACCCAAAGGACAAATAGTAATGAAAATCTCCGCTTTTAACAGCTTCTTGATGTCGGACACTCGTGTTTTTTTATAAGATGAACAGAGGTCACTTGAAGATAACACGAGAATAGAATTTATCCCTCATCTTGGAAACATTATTGTTAAAATAACCAGATTCAGTTGAGTAGGATTGGTGCTGTTACTTTGTTTACCCCGCATAACCTGTTATTCAGTCCTCAATTCATTCTTTAAACCTTTTTGGTGGTACTGATAGTTTAACTGGAAAATTTTACTTAAGGTTGACTTCCTCCATACGATGAAGATATTTAATTAAAACAATAACAACCTTTCATAATGAGAGGAGTACCTGGCAAGAATATCGCCTTAATAAAGGCGGTGTACACGACAATTACTGGTAGTGTCAGGGTTAACATGAGGTATCACCTAATTTGTCAACGCAGATTGGTGTCAATCACGAATTCCCTTTATCTTAACCATCTGAACAGGACTCGGTGTTCATATCTAGGCAATCAAGGTAAGTCAGTTGAGTTTGCACGATTTGTAATATGCATCCGTTTGACACCTACCAGTCCATTCCATGTAAAAAGAAGGTATCAACCTGCTAATTCGGATTTCGTCTATTGTGTTTATTGCTCCTCTCAGAAGTCTTAAATTGATACAGTTTAACTCGAATAATAATGCACATCCAATTGCACAGTATTTAAGTATTACCATCGAGTATCTTCCCGATGCTAAAAACGTAGTTGTAAGTTGACAAGCGAAAATATAACCATATCGCCTCATAGTCCTGCGTTAATATTATAACTCAATGATTTCAAGCGTCAGGATGAATACAAAACCCAAGCACATATTTTCCACCAAACAACAATTAAAGTAGTATAGGAGTAAAACTTAGGCATTGTAGTAGATTGTAATTCCATTTTATTCTATTTATTAGAAATGTCACAACAATGAAGGAACAGTATCATTTTTATCGGATAATGTAATTTTCGGACATATTTTATTTATTGTCCATATTCATATCACGTAACTAACTTCACAACTTCGAAACGGACTTTATACAGTCCTAATATTCCCTCCATCTCTGTAATGACACAGGTAGTAGAATTTTCCACATATCTGGGACAAGTACACAATCATTTCCATTGCATGAATTTGGTGTTGATTCGATAAACGAAGATTGAGTCAGTCATCGATCTCTTCCTTCCTCCACCCAACTAAGTTAGTTTCTAATACTGTCGCTCTGTACCACCCTATTGTGTGTAATTGCATGCTGTTATTCTAATCGACTACTTTGACCTACGTTCTTGACCTCGCAATCAGTGCGACGGGTTTGGTAAACCAAATTGTCTTGCTTAATCACATCAATAGGATCTTTTAACCTACAAAGCGTTTGTTGGTTTAAGTGGCAGCCACTTTATTCCCAGCCAGCCTTATTGAGAATTCTTCAGAATGCTTCTGAGGTGCGCCTATCCTTGTATGGTAACACAGTGGGTTTTGAATTCTCGATCAAGCCTATTACCATTATTGCTATTACAAGTAGGATTATTACAAATAACACTTGCATTACTACGGCTGCTTATATTTTTCTTTCGATTTTTCATGAATTTATTGATAAATTTATGTGGGTAATTACTGAGACGCAAGATATTGTTGATATGTCTAATTTCTACGCGTAGATTTTGCAGTCTATTAGTAAACCTTTCCAACCTATGACTTAGGCATTTAACTAAGCCTACTTTAACTCAGATGGGTTGGGTTGATTTAAAGTCTAAGTAGCTATTCGAATAGGAAGGTTTCTTATAGACCACATTGGTCTCTAAACTTTCACCTTGTTTTCTTTTAATCTTGCCATCCAGCACTGCTAGCTCACCTTCATCACTTTCTAAATCATAGTTAAGTTGGATTGTATTCATTATTGAACTTATTGATGTGTTCCGATTTCAGGACTGTAAATGTGTCGTCTACATACCGGAACCATATCTTTAGAGTAAGACAAAATGTTTAAAGACCCATCGATTCCCAACTATCCATATATATTTTTTTACTGTTATTGCTTGTAAGACACCGTCGTTGATTGGACCGAATTGATTAGTCCCTGTTGGTATATGGGCTCCTGTGCGAATGCCTCGATAGTGCCTGTGTTTTAATTATGTATAGTAATGATGGGCAGTGGAATCCAGGATGCACATTTCGTCCTATTTGGGACTCATCAGCTGGATGTGCCTGCCTCCCAGTGAGTGTTGTTCCCACAGAGACTCAGGATCGATCGCTTCATACGCTACTATACATAACTAAAACACAGGCAATACCGAGGCATCCGCGCAGGAGCCCATATGCCAACAGGGATTAATCAATTCGGTCCAATCAACGACGGTATCTTACAAGCAATAACATTAAAACTATACCCGTCGCACAAGAAGTGGCTATCTTGGCTCGGTGGTGTAGTGGATAACGCTTTGGTGTTTGAAGCGATCGCTCCCGAGTCCCAGTCCCAGTGGGAACAACATTACTCACTGGGAGTAGGTACATCCAGCTGACGAGTCCCAAACAGGACGAAATGCGCATCCCAGATTCCACTGCCCATCATTACTAAACATATCCATATATATGTCTGCGATTATAGAAAATATCGATGATCCCATGGTAACCCCTGCAGTTTGTTTATATATTTTAGTTTGAAACTTAAAAAAACTATAGACGTCAGGCACGGTTTCCTCGATCAGCACCTTAGGTCGATGCGTAAGCTAATTCTCATCCTTAACCCCATTTATAACTACTTTTACAGCCATTTCGATCAGTATATATCTATACATATACAATGCGCAAACAGTAAAGGGAGAAACGAATTACCATGCGAATCTATTTGTTTCCCAAGTGATTTGCGATGGAATCTTTCATGTATACGAATAGATATAATTGGGAAAAAAGCGATACATAGCAGGAACAAAGTTGTATTGGTCATGAGGAAAATATACAGAAATATGGTTTTGGAATTTATGGAGTAAATTTAACAGGAAAAATATTGCATACTTAAAAAATACCTAACAACATTTATCACCATGAGTGAAGTATAACGGTCGTGAATAGCAGCAAAGATAGTGCCACATTTTTATAAATGTACTTCATATATCTATATATAAAGTATTTATGTCTTGTCTAAAAACATTGCTTAATGCAAACGTGCCATTTCTTCGACAACTTTGACCAAATCCTCGACAGTACATTCTCGTGTTTCAGGATCCGAAGTACACGTAAAACCAGCTGTTCCAAACTCACTCATATTTACCTTAAAAACAGAAAATGAGGAAGAAAATTAAGTGCATGGCAAAACTTTCAGGCAGGAGGTAAGTATGCAGTACAAGCCAATCCAAAATGCAGTTGATATATTCTTGTGGTCGTCACTTAACTGCCACTTTAATCTCATACTCACTTCATATTATAACGAAGAAGTAATTCCATCTCTGCATAAAATAAAAGTAATCTATCTTTAAAAAAACCAGTACTGCTTGCTGTATATGATTGCTGGTCGTTAACAGAAGTGGTAACTAGTATATGGGAATCAAATACGACCCTTTCTGACTGGTCTAAGTCACTGATTATCCCAGTTTTCGAGAAGTCCTCTTGTAATAACCACAGAGGAATCAGCCTGACGAACATAGTGTCCAAGCTTCTATGTTCTAAAGTTCGTCGACGCCTGAGTGGAGCCAGGGAACAGAAAGTCCGAAAACACCAGGCAGGCTTTACACCCGGCCGCGGGCGTATCGACCAAGTATTCACACTACACCAAGTTTTGGAACACAAACACACTCACCGGTGACCGATACTGGCTGTATTTATCGACCTGAAGGCAGCGGCATTACAATCCCTTGATCGACAAATCTTATGGCAATGTCGCTCACTAAAAGGCGTGTCGAGTAACTACAACACCCTTTTTGATCACTCTCTACTCGAACACTTGTGGACGGGTTAGAACCAATGGTGAGATGTCAGGTGAGCTATGCTCATCAAGTGGTGTCCGTCAACGGTGCCCACTACCTCCATTCTCATTCAATATCACCATAGATATTCTCATGGAGGTCTCCATCTCGTCACATGATTAAACACACACACGTTGACCTAATCGCAGCAGAATTTTCATTAGACATAGCATACGCACATGACATTGTCCTGTTAGGTGAACACGCTGACAAGATGCACAGTCTTGTGCACAGTTTGAGTAGCCATTTGAGGATGTTTGGGATGCGTTTCTCACTACCCAAATACGAATTGTTGCTCCAAGATTCGTCTTCAACGGTACCCCACCACACCTAACAATAGAGAGTGTAGTGGTTCAGTGTGAGTGTCGACCACTTCACTTAACTGGCAAGTCAAGTGGAATCAACCCTGATGCGTTCATCAGTGGCCGATGAAATCTCCACACAAATAGAAAATGATCGGTTGGCTTTCACTAACTTACACAACCTGTCGTGTCTCCGTAATATCCCCATGTTTATTAAGGGTCGCGTGTACTGCACACCAGTACCCTCTGTTCTACTCTATAGCTGTGTGAAACATGGTCATTGAAGAAGGTGGAAGACATGAGAAGGCTGGCTTCGGGTGTTTGACCACCGTTGCCTTCGTAGTATAGGCCACCGTATTCCCTGGTGTCACCAGGTGAGTAATTCAGAAGTCAGGTGTAGAGTTTTAGGGAGAAGAGTTAAGCCAGTCAGTTGATGTGGTTGTGAATCTTCATTGATTGATTGAGATGACTGGTTGGGACACATGTTACGTATGCCTAGGTGCCGACTGCCCCGTCACATAATGTTGGCCAAAGTAGGTTCAGGTTGGAAAAAGGCTTGAGGCTCGAGGTGGCCATAGACCAAAACATGGCACCAATGTATGAAGTGTTTGACTGTTGGACTGAGCCATGTGGGGTGATGCAGGCTAGCCAGTTGGGGTCCACGTGACAAGGGAAACCAGTGGTTGGAGACTGATTTTGGGTGATCACACGGCTCAGAACCGAAGTCAGTGACCCAGATGTATACACATATTATCTTCACCTTAACCTTTATGCTTAATCTCAGAGTCTCCTCATTCTTCCTTTCTCTCTTTTCGTACTTGGTATTTCTTTTGACTGAAGTTTCTTTTCCTTATTTTCCACTTCACTGCCTTTAACTTGATACACTGATAGGAGCTATTGCAACACGGACCGTTACGCAGTAATGCCTGATTCTATGTTGATTTGGATGATGATTGCTGGTCAACTTTTTGCTTACGAAATCTGTTAGATAACTATCTAGAGAAATCATATCAGGATTGACATGCGAATTTAAGAAACTCCTGAGTTCATCAATCACAAATAGATATATCGTTTAACCAACGGTAAAGTTTGCTATTACTACTACTATTACTACTAAGTCTTCCTGGCAATGTCAAACTAACACAGACGAACGATATACTTGTGAATGAAAATTTAACGCTTATTACACAAATTAAAATATTTTGTATACATGCCTACTGGAAAGATTCATAATTCATCAATTTAAACCGAATATACTGTGATTCATCGATTTAGGGAGATGAGTTTCAACCAATTGGGTGATGAGTTCGAATCCCACTCTATTTACCGAGGTTTAGGTAACCAGGTTGTAGTATCATTAATCCTCACGCATAAAAGGTGTGGCTCATTGCCTACTTCACGAATGTGAACAAGGTGGCTCAGTTCAAACTATTATTATTATTATTATTATTATTATTATTATTATTATTATTATTAGTGAAACAACCAGATACATGTACTGCAATATCAAAGTGATTGAACTCAGAAAATATGGCATACATGTTCTAATATCAGTAGATAAATAGGTTAGACGTGATAGTGATGATACAGTTAAGCGTCTTACGGGAACTGTAAACTTGTAGGTAACAGTTGGGTTCTAGTATGGAATTATTGGTTTCTTACTCTTCAGTTGGTTAACTAACTACAAGGTGATAAGTAGTCAAAAGTGATTCTTTCTACAGAAAATGAATAATTTTTCTAAAAGTTGGTTAGACTAAAAACAAATACTTGAAGTGATAAACATTAATTCATATGGAATGCAAAATCATCTTATAAGAATAGAATTTTGAGCACTGTGGTTAGGTCTCTGACTTCATCACTGAGTAACGCAGGTTTGAACATAACTGAAGGAACTATAGTTTCTCTTCTTCGCTGATGAGTCCTAATAAGCATGAAACCTTGACTAAGCATAACTTCCTATCTTACTGATTCCCAACATCAAACGGTAAAGCAGAGGATATTCTCATACTAAGTATGTTCATTTGATTCAACACACAATGAAATAGTATTATTTTTTAGACGACTTATCCAGAAAAGAGATTATTGCTTATGGATATACCAAGATGATCGAGTAAATCTTGACGACTAGCTTTTATAGTTTGGTTATTTGTTATTCCTTCGTTTAAATGGTAATAGGATTATCGTGAAATTTAGTGTTGACTAGATGAACAAAGATTCGATAATCGATATCTCTTTACCACCCCATCATGTGATTATGAGTCACTGACAGAAGGATTATATTATTATTTGTCCCTTGGGTTCCTAATGGAACATAGGGCTTCAGTAGCACGTCTCCATTCCACTCTGCTCTCTGAAATCTTTTCAACCTGGCTCCATGACTGCCCACAAGCTCTCATTTCTTCCTCACACCATCTCCTCCATGTTACCCTCACCTCGGACGCCCAACTAGTCGTTTCCCATATGGGTTCCACTCGAGCAACTGGCCTGGTGCATGATGTCCCCGAATGGTCCTCTCAGTGCATGCCCAATCCATCTCCACTTCCTTCTGCATATTTGTTGAGTGGTAGGTTTTTGGTTGGTTCGCTGCCAGCCAGAGTTCCTTGTCGCTTATTCTTTCTGGCCATCTGAGGACAGAAGGATTGCATCCATCTATCTCGTCCCAAGTTAGCATAAACTCTGAAAGATAACTTCGGCTTGTAGTATGATCGATGCCATATATCTCAGTAGGTCGAAATATAGTGGTGACACAAAGGACATCATTTTACGGCAGTGACACGCTTAGACCCATTAAACATTGGTACAAGCCCATTTTTCCACCTACCCCGAGTGACTGATGGTTAATGTGTGACAAATATGAACTATCAGTATGTGTCGTAAGCCAGAGTATCAAACAACAGTTTTGATAACCTATGATACTGTCAGGATGTTGGCATAGCTATAGATGATAGAATATACAATGCTGTGGTGGAGGTACTTCCGTTCTACATATCTAACATGTACCTGATCCAAGATGATAAGATCTGACGACTATGTTTACTCACTATTGTATCCGCAGGAATATTTTGTAGGTACTTCGGACATTCAGTTGCACACTTGCCGGACACTAGATGTGAACATTGACTACGAACAAACCATTTCGATGATCTGTATATAAGTTATGTGTCTTGTTCGCTGCATATTACCTATCCGATTATTTAGAAGAGGTGGTCACTGTATTACACGACACTGTGGAATGAAGGATAGTTGTGCTGAGCTGCATTCAACAGATGATGCGAATCAGTGGTCTACAGTCTCGTTAGATATTATAGTTTTTAGGTACAGCCTCGCATAGAAATGCATCAGTTTCAGTTGCCACACTTCACAGTTGTACACAAAGAACAGTTGAATCGAAAACGAGTGATATCAAAGTAGATAAAGTTGTATGAGAGAATAAACAATAAGAAGATAAAACGGTCAGTGCGAATATTCGAGCTTTAGACGATGTCAAGAACTGAATACATCTGCACCACTGTAGCGGATTTTCAGCTATGTCACTAAAAGTCTTCAAGCACTGATTCATTTCGTCTCGGGGACCCTAACCAGCCAGTGTACATCTCCCCACAAAAAGACCAACAATAAGAGACTTCATCGACTGGTGCCACCTCCTGGTCTGGCCATTCTCAAACCTCTTTCAACCGAATCCAGCTTTTACTTAGCATGGCCGTCGAGGTAAGCTGTGGCTCGGTATGCGCAGTACATGTCTGAACCATTTCAGTCGACTTGCCTGTCTTGTTTAGCACCCTTCACCTGACCTAAACATTACTCACATGGTGATTTCACCATACCCGAGCAATGCTATGAAGATACCTGTAGTAAAAAACTTGTAGCCTCTTTATATCTTCTACTTTACACTGCCTTGTCCTATAATCGTATAACAAGAATGACTGACTAATAAAATCAACAGGACAGAAAAGATTGCAGTAGAGTAGATTTCTCCTTTAAGAAGCAGTTGGGAAGCTCGCCAGTTGGCGTGCTCCAAGTCAAGTAGAAGCTCTCTAGGGGGTAGATCAATCCATGTGGTGTTTGACGCACTTAGGGTTGTTCCGATTAGTAAGTCTATACAGATGTTGAACAACAACGGGTATCGTGGTGAACACCACTACTAGTTGTCAATTCAGATGAAAAATCTCGTACACTATTTGGCACCTCTGTTACTTTAATTAGCACCATTTTCTGCCTCCATCCTTGATACCTTCGGGTGGCGAAATATCAGGTCCACCTGGTGCTTTGCATCGTTTCAGATTCGATACTGCTTTCTTAACTTCAAAGACAATTGGAAGACCAACATCTACGTCCCACTGAGGTTCAGACTGGATGTTGAGCAAATTAAGTGTTGCCGAGGGCAGATTGAACTCTGCTTCGAAGTGTTCTACTCAACATTCTAGCCGTCTGTACTAAGAGGTTATCAATGTCTCACACTTTTCGCTGATGGTCTCACTCACCAGCGTCTTTTTCTTTCCAGTATCCTCAATAAGCCTAAATAATTGCCGCATGTTACCCAATGCCGATACCTTTTCCATCTCTCTTACTTTCATCCCCGCAATCATTGCGAAAACTTACGTTTCAGTTGCCATCCTTTTTCATGGTGGCTTCAGTCTTTTGGAAAGAGTCTTTTGAAATCAATCAGTTCGGGTGACGATGAGGAAATCCACTGGCGTTTGCTAACCTTCGCGTGTAGGTTACAAACTGTCTTAACCGCTGTTTATGCAGAAGACTTAATACCACCCCAGGTTTCCCTCAGGATAAGTATTTCTGTCACGTTGAGGTACACGCCTAGCTATCTTCTCCATGAAAACATACTTAGTGTTCTTATCTTCCAGTTGAGCACGGGTTTAACTGTCGCCTTTTTTCTGCGACCATTACGGTACAGACATACACTAGCACGTGATCGGAGTCCAAATAGGTAATCCAGAAAGAGCGGCAATTGTCCACCAACTCTTGCCAACGATGGCTTATAGTAATATGATCTACTTGTATTCATTATTGGTCTGATGTCAGCAGACACCATATGAAACAGTCTCTTCTTACACTTAAAGCTAGCGTTGATCAGAAACAAGTGATCGTCAGAACAAAACTGAAACAGATGATCACCGTTGTTGGTTCATTGTCATGGGATTTCGTAGATACCGCCGACTGGTTAAACTTTGTCACTTGAGCGTTAAAGTCACATACCATTATGACTACATCTGAACGTTTTGATTTTTGTAGCAAAATTTACAGCCTCTATTAGACTTCATCCTTTGCATCACTCGAACTGCAGTCAATGCGTGTGTAGGCTGAGATTACAAATAGGCATTAGCTAGTCTCATGATCACTCCTAGTTCTTACAAATCTATTCAGTCGAACAACACACATACAGCTATTGACTGGTATCTAATCGAGAACCGCACTTTCTGCTCAAGAACTTAATGTTGTGTGTACCACCAATGAGTTCACGGCGGCTAGCCATTGAATCTCTGGATACTCGTTAAGTGAATTTCGGAGATTCACTACATTGGCGAGGTGAATTCGGTTTAATAACCACCCTCAGATCCTATAAACGTGTCTCGAAAACAGCATAGGATCCATAGCTTGATAATCCAGATTTCTGGTGAGCAATACCCGTTGTCAAATTTGGCATAGAGTTCGGACGTTGAAATCCCCAATATGAAATCGATGGCGAGGTCTTAGGACAGTAGGAATGAAATCTCGATGGTTCTGATAGTTAGCAATAGTCGCAGAGTGATGTGAGGCTGAGAAAGTTGTAAATGCCTTATTATTGGTATCAGAAGAAGGTAAAGGCGAAGATAGAAGGGGACAGGTCATGTTTGTTTAGATCTTATAGACGACTGGAAGCATGCGGGCCACTTAACACTTCTCGACTGTCTACACCATGGAGGCTATTTCTTCTTAAGACCTCTGAAAGAGAAAAGGATTTGTGTGACCGTAGGGCCCATGGGACACCTGGTATACACAGCCGCTTTGAGGACTGTTGGCCTGAGATTTGGTTATTCTAACACCAGACAGAGAAAACCGATTGAGCTAGCACCCGAAGATCGTAGGGCAGGAAAGTGTGCTGTTTATAGGACTAAACTTTTCTAAGTCCCCTTTCTCACCAGGGAGGCAGCATGGGTATGATACACATTGAAAGAATAAGTAATATAAGGAATTATTCCATAAAGTATAATGATAATATCGAAAAGTTTTACATACCGGTATACGTAAGCCTTTAACTAATTTTGTTTTATCTTCCATATTCAAATCTGTAACTGTTTCAATAAGATCACCATCTACAAAATTATGCGCCATTTTAATTTCACGATCTGCTTTAAAAGCTCTCCATGTATCATGTGCAAATCCACCGACAGGAACAACTAGATTAGTTAATCGAAATTCAATTTCTTTTAAAAATGCAAATAAAATAGGAGAAAGTTGAACAAGAAGGCCTAAACCACCATTGACAGTACCATATAAATGACCAGGATAACCAATAGCTGTCCAACGTTCTTCAGTATTTTGAAGTACAAGATTACCTAAATGTATAAAGTTACCAAATTAATATTTAATAAATTGTCTAATTGAAACTTTCATCCATAAATTTATATTCAATTGAAATTAAGCAAAGAAAAAAAGAAAAACCTACACATTAGTGGAGTCTCAATTTGTCACTAGAATGACTGATCAACTATGTATCAGGTTAGTAGACTAAGCAATAGGTCATATATATTTTGTGTCAGTTAGAAACAATACTTGACTGCTACAGTTCAAACCTTGGTAGAAAAAAAGGCGAGATTTTAACCTAACACTATAACTGGCTGAAAATATTCAAAGTAATGAATTACAACTGTATTGAATGAAAAGTCACTGTCTATAAAACTAGCCGATAGCTCTCTATAGAACTAATCCATCTTTATTAATAAAGAAGTTAAGCTTGAGCATTATCAACAATTGTAATTCCATTTTAGTATGTTTATTAGAAATATCACACAGTGAAGGAACAGTATCATTTTTATTGGATAATGTAATTTTTGGACATATTTTATTTATTGTCCATATTCATATCACGTAACCAACTTCACAACTTCGAAACGGACTTTATACAGTCCTAATATTCCCTACATCTCTGTAATGACATAGGTAGTAGAATTTTCCACATATCTGGGACAGGTACACAATCATTTCCATTGCATGAATTTGGTGTTGATTCGATAAACAAAGATTGAGTCGGTCAACAATCTCTCCCTTCCTCCACCTAACTTAGTTTTTAATACTGTCGCTCTATACCACCCCAATGATGCGCATAGATGTAGCCGACTAACTTTTCTCTAAATTAGGATCGACTAATCTTGATTTAGCTAAGTTTTCGCGCTCAGTTGTTCTAATTGATCCTGGTCGGCTACTTTGATTTCAGAATCATCGCAAGGGTTTCAGTAAACTAAGCTTTGTTTTGTCTAGTTGGATCAATAGGATTTTTTTTTAACCTACAAAGCTTGTTTTAAAGAGGCTTTGTTGATTGAAAAACCACTCGAATCCTAGGGTTATCGAAATTTCTTTGTAGCGCTCTGAGACGCCTTCTTTGTATGGTAAACATAGTGAAGGCTTTGCCTTCTCTCCTAACTATGTTACCATTATTATGTAAAATTAAACTAAATGAAACTGAATAACTGAAATTTTTCCCACAATTGATGAACATGCATTACTGACATAAACAGAAAATACAATGCTGAAATTCTAGAAGAAAAAATCACATGAAACACTTACCACGCACAAATACATTAACGAAATCTCCTGTATGAAAATAAGCACAGTCAACTAAGCGTTGCATTTCTCCGGATACACCGCTTGAATTTGGTTTTGTGCCAGTAAGACGAGAATCAAGAAAGTGACGACTCGATGGTGCATTACTTCGACTTTCTGCTGCAGATGTTGTTGAACTCACAGAAGTTGTACTCGATGTAGTATTAGAAGCAATAGCTTCACCTGTTGTAATGCTTCCAGACTGTGTAGACGAACCTGTCTTATTTGATTGTAAATGTGAAGATAATGATGGTAAGACACAAGATTCAGGTGATGTAAATAAAGCACGAAAACTTGGTTCTTTAGTATTTTCCGGTAAATCTCTTGAAACGACAAAAAGATTATTTTCCACTTCAGCGGCAAGAAAGTGTTCATCATCAAGAATTTCAATACATGTTGTCCAACGAGGATGCCGATGTCTTCCAATCTAAAATAACAAAGTAGTGTCACTGTGAAACACGTCTTAAAAACAACAACAAATTAACTGCTAGTAGTAGGCTTTAGACCTGGCCACGGATGTATCGACCAAGTATTCACACTACACCAAGTTTTGGAACACAAACACACTCACCGGCGACCGATACTGGCTGTATTTATCGACCTGAAGGCAGCGGCATTAGAATCCCTTGATCGAAAAATCTTATGGCAATGTCGCTCACTAAAAGGCGTACCGAGTAACTACAACACCCTTCTTGAACACTCTCTACTCGAACACTTGTGGACGGGTTAGAACCAATGGTGAGATGTCAGGTGAGCCATGCTCATCAAGTGGTGTCCGTCAACGGTGCCCACTACCTCCATTCTCATTCAATATCACCATAGATATTCTCATGGAGGTCTCCCTCTCGTCACATGATTAAACACACACACGTTGACCTAATCGCAGCAGAATTTTCATTAGACATAGCATACGCACATGACATTGTCCTGTTAGGTGAACACGCTGACAAGATGCACAGTCTTCTGAACACTTTGAGTGGCAATCTCAGAATGTTTAAAATGCGTTTCTCACTACCCAAATACAAATTGTTGCTCCAAGATTCGTCTTCAACGGTACCCCACCACACAACACCACACCTAACAATAGAGAGTGTAGTGGTTGAGTGTGTGTGTGTGTGTCGACCACTTCACCTGACTGGCAAGTCAAGTGGAATCAACCATGATGCGTTCATCAGTGGTCGATGAAATCTCTACACGAATAGAAAATGCTCGGGTGGCAGTCACTAACTTACACCATCTGTCGTGTCTCCGTCATATCCCCATGTTTATTAAGGGTCGCGTGTACTGCACACCAGTACCCTCTGTTCTACTCTACAGCTGTGTGAAACATGGTCATTGAAGAAGGTGGAAGACATGAGAAGGCTGGCTTCGGGTGTTTGACCACCGTTGCCTTCGTAGTATAGGCCACCGTATTCCCTGGTGTCACCAGGTGAGTAATTCAGAAGTCAGGTGTAGAGTTTTAGGGAGAAGAGTTAAGTCAGTCAGTCAGTCAGTTGATGTGGTTGTGAATCTTCATTGATTGATTGAGGTGGCTGGTTGGGACACATGTTACTTATGCCTAGTCGTCGACTGCCCCGTCACATAATGTTGGCCAAAGTAGGTTCAGGCTGGAGAAAGGCTTGAGGCTCGAGGTGGCCATAGACTAAAACATGGCACCAATGTATGAAGTCTCTGACTGTTGGTTTGAGCCATGTGGGGCAATGCAGAGTAAGTTGTTGGGGTCCGTGCAACAACAGGAAGCAGTTGTTGGAGACTCTAGGTGATACGGCCAAAACTGATGTCAGTGGTGCAGATGTATACACACATTATCCTCATCTTAACGAGGCTATACCGAATCTCACCACTTTCTCATTTTTCCTTTCCTTCTTTTCGTACTTTATATCTCTTCTGACTGCATTCTCTCATCTTCATCTTGTGCTTCACTGATATGAGATGTGGCAATTCGGACCGTTATGCAGTAATGCCTGGTCCTATGTTGATCTGAATGGATGGATGGAGTGGGCTTTATTGCTCGTATTGCGATGGGCATCTGAATGTATAAACAAGAAAATGTGTATGAAACAACTTCCGAAGCGTAACATTCGTAGATTAAACCGAGGAGATGAGAGCCAGAGAGTAGTGGCACAGTAAATCTCATGACTAACCACCACAGATTTATCTACCAGATGGGATTCAACATCCCCCTCAGTCATCATTCAAATCCACACAGTGAGTGAGGAAATGTAAACACTTACATGAGTACGAAGTTCACAGGTAGATTAACCCGAGTACAAGAATGTTGATGGTGCAACCTTCTCAATTGTAATCAAGCAAAGCATAGTAACACGACTGAGTAGCAAATCACTCAAGAAGTGAAGTGTCAAAACAGAAAAACGAGAAGGGGGGGACACAAGAGATTTCAAAGACTGAAAATTAAGACCATAATAGGAGAAGAGGGTTGAACAATCTTCTTTTGCGTACACAGTTTAGGTTTTTCTATATGAATGACAAAAGTTTTGGTGATGCAGAGAACACGAAGATATACAGCCTTTCGAAGGTCTCCTTTCACTTAGTGGATGACTTTAAACGAGGAGGTTCTTAAGATAGCGTGATTCGTGCTCACGATGTGTTCAATTATAGCACTCCTTATCGCTCCATTGCTACCTCTTTGTAACAACGCAGGATAACAGCCGCATCGAACGACCTACATACCTTACTCCACAAGAGCAGGTGAATTGATATATGCACATAGAAGTGATCAGGTGAGAAAGTTTCTCCTTTGAGTTGTTAGAAATCGTTGGGTGACAAGAGAATACTAGTCTCAGCGTTGATGCAAAGAGTGTTTTCCCTAGTGCGTTTGATATCCTCCTTTTTAGTGTCAGAGGCAGAATCACCTTTGAAGTTTAGATTCATATAAAGTATCTTTTTTCGGAAGGCTGTTAAGGTTCTGTTTGCGAGCTTTAGGCTCAATGTGTTTTTCTGTGAAGCGTAGTGGGGATCCGTTTTAAATCAGGATGTTTTGTGGAACAGAAATTTCTTCTTATAACACATCGGGACTGCAGATTCGTCTGATGCGAGTTGGCAAGGGATATGATCAGATTTCGCTTACGACTCATGGGGACCCAGCTATTAAAGTTCGTCAGCTGACCATCCTACATTGGTTTTCTGTGAATTGATCTACTTAACGTTTTATCAGCTGTTCTTGTCATTTCTACATCAAGAAAGTGAATTTTCGATCGATTTCTGACCTCAAGGGTGAATCTAATTGCTGAATGGCAGTTATTGAATGTTTGTAGGACGTGATTCAAATCATATTGATGAGCACAGATAATAAAAGTATCGTCCATGTACCTTTTGTATAGATGAAAACCTTCAATTGTTGATTTCAAGCGTCTGTTCTTCAAACTGGTCATAAAGCAGTATGCTAGTAGTGAACCTAGTGGAAATCCCATGACGATTCCATCTTTCTGTTTCTAAATCACGTCGTTAAATGTGAACTGAACGTTGAATGTGCATTTAAGTAACAGTTCCTTAAGCCAGGGGCTCGATATCCCAACATTTATGTTGTTATCTTCTATGTATCTGCATAAGAATGAGATAATTTCGGCAAGTGGGACATTGGTGAAAAGTGACTTGAAATCAAGTGATATCATACATTTATTAGATACATCTTCGTCTCTTATGCAATCAACAAAATTCAAAAGTTTCGCATAGGGAGTGAATGGAGATCTGTCTTGTCACAGGCTCTAGGATTTCAGCTAGCTATTTAACGATTGGATAGTAAGGAGACTCAGATATGTCTAAAATCGGACGAAGGGGTAGACCGGCCTTGTTAATTTTCGGTAATCCATAAAGTCGCATAGCTCACTTCGATCTGAAGTTTGCGCTGCTGACGTCTACAACGACAGTGTAGAAGCTTCATAACTAAACCATCCAGCTCAGAGAACACAACACCATCTAAATTATTCTCCTAAGCTACAAATATTCTCCATCATCTTAGTAAACTTTGAAAACGTTGTGCAGATATCTCTTTTGTTTATACGAATACTTCGGAGATAGACTAATACTTTAATAAAGAAGTTCATGTGAAGACCACAAAGAACATGATATTACTGAATCTGTTATTTCCGTCATACTTCATACCAAGATATTGGCTTATAAATGATTAGTAATATAATCACAAGTTGTAGAAAGCCATAAGAAAAGTAAATAACTGAAAGCTCGGTATCTTACTCTATATAATATAACAAAGGGTGAGATTGAATCGGCTAGAAACCCTGCTAAACTTGGGTTTCATGCTTATTGACACATCAGTAAGGTGTATTTGTAACCATGATGAAGTGTTGACACCCCCTTGGTGGTTCGAACCAATGTCTTACAATTTGGTTACTAAGCGAAGTGATACGATACTCTGGTGCACCGACATTTCTGGTGATGTACATTTAACTGACTAAAAATTAGTAGATTCATCTTGATTACTTAACACAATAGTTACCTTCGTGGTACTTACAGCCTAGTTAACTTCTCGATAAAGTTCACTCACCAGAAATTTAGTCACAAAAATACTTAGATGGTCATATTCCTACTACGATGAACTAAGAAAATACAAGTTATCCTCTATTAGGAGTTAACCCAATCCACTGGACCAGGTATCGAGAGAGTAAGGCATAACTGTTCGTATGTTGACACTGTAAGTATGTAGAAACAATGGGTAAGCACCTCAGAAGTGACGATGACAAATGAGAGCGACTGAAATACTACTTACTTATCTATAATTAATACTGGGTAGTGATTGAAGATGTAATAAAAATACGGATAGCAGCAAGATTCAAATCATCGGTTCATTGGTTTAGAGAGGTGAGTTTTAGCCAATGGGTAAGGGGTTCGAACCTCATTCCACCAACTGAGGTATACGGCAGACATGTAGTATCAATAGTCTTCATTGCTTAGCGCATGATTGTACATAAGGCTGCTGACTGAGGACCTATCTAAACCTTACCTCTAGGCTACCAGTCATGTTACGATTGTGTTTCACTCGATATACTTCTTAAATTGAATTGACTGAAAGGCTCTACAGAAAGATGTGGAGGATTCGTCTACCAGGATAGTGGAAATCTTCTAATAAGGACTATAGAACCTATTTCGAATTCAGGCTATTCCATCTATCTAGTAAGTAAATCAGCATGCACAAGACACTTCAAACCATGAATAGACAATGAATTATAAAGTGTAATCTAGCGAAACAAGACATAAGTAGGGACAGGACATTTAACCGATTAAACTATAAAGTTGTTTAGAATTAAAAATCTGTCCAATGTATTAATTTTGATCACTTTACTGGCAATTTTTCAGGGTGTCGATACTCATCCACAAGCAGAACAAGCCGTTCTTTGTGAGGTCAGGAGGCTTTGATTATGAGGGTCTATACGTTCTTGAAGAAACTCCTAATTGGACGACATTACTTCAGTTTCCGTATAAAAGAAACTCTCCTTGAATTCGAGAAGACTGTTCCAACTGTGAAACGATGTAAAGTAGCAAAACCTTGTGGTTTTCTACCATTGTCTGAAGAAATGAGTTATTGGTAGTATTGTGTTCTCTGAGCTGGGTTGTTTAGTCGTGGAGCTTTCATCGTCTTGCCAGACATCATCAGCATTAATTTCAGTATGAAGTGACCTGTCAATATCTCTCCTTGAGTGATTTAATAGCTTACTTTGACTAAATGTTTTGTGATTGGTTGTTTCCCTTTATTGGTGTATCATTGCATAGATTTTCTTGTTGGCTGGCTGTTCCTCTGCTTCACCTCTCACCTTTCTGTCGATTGTCACTGTTTTCATCTGTTGATAGATTGGGTCTATGTCTATACATCTATTCATTGCTGACTGACAGACCTGAGTACCAAGCTTCTAGGAATTCTCTCATATTTTTGTGTTTCCTCTCTCCATCCAAAATGTCTACATTGTCAAAATCGAATTCATGTCTATAGTTGTTATCCACATGGATTGTAATGAGTGATGAAATGTCATGTGTGACGTTGAATAGCCAAATGGTGTTTATGTAGACGACGGCGAAGATGGCAACCACTCCATCCAATGTAATGTTGACTACAGTTATTGCAGTTGATTTTGTAAATGATACTCGGTTTGTTTTCTTCGGTTGTTGCATCATTTGGTCTGCATAATAGTGTTTGGAGCGAATTTCTTGCAGTCAGTCAATGATATAATAATCAAAGGAAATAACCAATCACAAACCAGTTAGTCAGGGTGAGCTACTAAATCACTGACGGAGAGATGTTGATAGCTCACTTCATAGTGAAGTTAGTCGTGAAGATGTCGCTCTCTCGAAAGACGATAAAAGCTCCATGACTAAATAACACAGCTCAGAGAACACAACACAACCAAGACCATCCGCCTGAGCTACAAATATTCTCCACCATTTCGAAATGAGTTATTTATTAGAATAATGGAAGAACTAGGTAGTGTACGGAAACACCAGGTAGTCATCAAAGCGATCGAGATCATCAATTATCAGAATTTATAAGAACGTTGAAGTCTTCGCTTGATAACCATGAGGGAAATAGTTTGATTAACAGTGTCAAAGACCTTAGGGTCCACAGTTACACGATGTCTTACCCGGGGTCTCGAAGGTACCAGACATGGAAGGAATTGTATCGATCAAATCTTCACTTTCTGATTAGTTTTAAAACTAGGTATAATTAGAAGCGCCCAAACTATACCAGGTTTTTTTTACCTTAAGGTGATCCTAGCACAGTAGCCCACTGGTTCAATTTGCTACACATCATAATGATCAGATTTTACAGATAATAAACTGATACCCCTCTTTAAGTCAGAACAAGATAAATACAACTAATAAAGTAAACCATATGAAATAACACTTCTGTGTTTAAGATTTAAAAATTCAACTTACAGCTTCAAAATTGTTGACATTCGCTTTGAATAGTAGTAGCGTTAATGAACGCATTAAATCACCGACAAGAACAAAATCACCTTTTCGACGAAGGAATAAAGCAATAATACTCTCATTGAAACTACATGCCAATCGTAAAGAATCCTCTTTAATATCAAAAAGTCTCACCTATATTATACAAAAGAAAGAGAGAAAAGAAACTTTTATCGATTTGTAAAAGAAATATGTTCGCAAAATCTTTCATGAAAAGTATTTCTTCAGCTTGACACAAATTTAGTATACAATACAAACAACAAAAGGAAATGCGTCACAAACAAATACTAGAAATTTTGAGGGAGTTGTGGAGATTTGGAAATATTTCAAGTTGTTATTCATCGAAGACTGACATCAGTTGAGAAGTCGTGACCGGTGGAGTCAAAGCCTGATGGCCGTGAGGACAGATACTCAACGATGATATTGGGTGGCGGTTGCGCTATATTGTGAGCTAACAGAAGTTGGAAATATGGATCACTGGATTCTGACCCAGTGGCTCAATGGTAACGCGCTGGCAGCGGAACCTGAAGGTCGCGGGTCCGGTCCCTGTTGGTGTGGGGTCGTGGGAGCACTGCTGAGGAGTCCCATACTAGGACGGAACAGCTGTCCAGTGCTCCCAGGTTTCCTTTGTTCCTCCAACTGATATCACTCTTCGATGAATAACAAATTGAAATACTAGAAAGACAATATTAAACAACACCGGATATTGAAAATGTGCATTTTAAGTTGCACAAAACTCAATCATACAGTTGAAAAAAGAAACGATAAAGGCATACATCTACGTGTCACTATTAATTGCAGATGACTCCATCATATGTTTTCTACTTTTAAAGATCATGTTTCACAGTCATGAACCTTCATCGACTGAGATGGTTGGGACATGTGTTACATATACCTAGTCACCGTCTGCATCGTCACACAGTGCTGACTGAAGTAGGTTCAGGGTGGAAAAAGGCCCGAAGTGGCCAGACTGAAACATGGCATCAATGTATGAAATCTCTGACTGCTAGACTGAACCATGTAGGGAGGCGATGCAGACTAGTCGGTTAGGGTCCATGGGACAAGAGAAACTAGTGGTTGGAGACTGACTGTAGGTGATCATATGGCTCAGAATCGATGTGGGTGACGCAGATGTATACACACATTATCCTCATCTTAATGACGCTATACCGAATCCCGTCGTTAACAAACACTAAAAGATAGAACTATGATGACGTTCTTGTTTTTAATCAAGTAAATTCACGATTAAAACCATAAACATACCAAAAATCATTCAAAGAACTAAAACAATAAAGGAGTAGTTGTCTAAACCAATGTAATCATCAGAACTTCTCTATAATGTTTACAACTAGGTTATAAAATGCAATCCTGTCTGATTGATGAGTTTAACAACCGCAGTCAGAAAATCTACCACAAGAATAAATTAATGAAGAAACCGAAGGGTATAAGAAAATAAATAAGCATAGAACACTAAAATCATTTGTATTACTAATAGAATTTGAGCCAGATAGTCTTATGTACGCAAGAAATCCACTAACAACCTTAGTCACTGCTAAATAAAAACTCCACTTATTGTATTACATTCTTAAATTTAAAGTTTCCATCCATCCATCTAAATCAACCGGAACAGGCAGGCTTCAGGAAGTACAAATCATGTGCAGACCAAATTGCAACGCTTCGTATCATCATAGAACAGAGCATAGAATGGCAATCACCTCTCCACCTCAACTTCATCGACTTTGAGAAGGCCTTTGACAGCGTCGACCGAGAAGTAATTTGGAAACTGCTTCAATACTACGGAGTACCGCAAACCTTTATCCGCCTCATTCAACAACTATATGAAGATGCCACATGCCGGCCAAGTAATCCACAATGGGAAGCTCAGTGATGCTTTTGAAGTGGAGTGAAGACAGGAGTGAAACAAGGTTGCCTACTATCCCCCATGATATTCCTTATTGTGGTGGACTGGATCATGCAGCAAACAGTAGGCAGCGAGAAGAGGGGGATACACTGGACGACGGAAAAGAACCTAGAAGACTTGGATTTCGCCGATGACTTATGCCTAATGTCACATAAACTTGAAGATCTGCAGGCAAAAACTAACAAGTTGATAGAAGAGGCAGCTAAGACGGGACTTCAGGTGAATATAGAGAAGACAGAAGTGATGAAGATACCGCACCACCACCATCAACAACAACAACAAACTCCAATCACCGTCAACGGGAGAAACTTGAAGGAAGTAACCTCCTTCACTTATCTAGGAAGCACTGTCTCAACCACAGGCGGGACGGACGAGGACGTCAAAGTCAGAATCGGAAAAGCAAGACAGGCCAGCGTTCATTAGCCTGAAACCAGTGTGGAGATCTTCAGCACTCAGCATGCGGAACAAGATACGGATTTTCAACACCAACGTCAAGTCAGTGCTCTTGTATGGCTCAGAGACTTGGCGCGTCACGAAAGGTATCTCCAATAAACTACAGACATTCATCAACAACTGCTTACGCTCGCTGCTGAAGATCAGATGGCCAGAAAAAATAAGCAACAAGGAACTCTGGGAACGAACCAACCAAGAACCTATCACGCAACAAATATGCAGGAAGAAGTGGAGATGGATTGGCCATGCACTGAGAAGGCCGACGGAGGACATCACGCGTCAGGCCCTCGAGTGGAATCCCCATGGGAAGCGACGAGTTGGACGTCCAAGGGTGACATGGAGGAGGTCGTGCGAGCAGGAAATGAGAGCTTCTGGGCTGTCGTGGGACCAGGTTCAAAAGATCTCAGAGAACAGAGGTCACTGGAGGCGTGCTACTGAAGCCCTATGTTCCACTAGGAACCCAAGGGACTAATAATAATAATAATAATAATCTAAATCAACATAGCACCAGGGCAATACTGCGTAACCGTCCAAGTTGCCACACATCATCACATCACCACATCAAGTAAAACAACAGTGAAGTGGAAGATGAAGAAAAGAAAATTCACTCAAAAGAAGTACGAAGTAGGAAAAGAGAGAAATGAAGAATGAGAAAATGGTGAAATTCGGTATAGAGTCGTTAAGATGAGGATAATGTGTACATACATCTGCAACACTGACTTCCGTTCTGAGCCATGTGATCACCCAAAATCAGTCTCCAACCACTGGTTTCGCTTGCTGCGCGGATCCCAACGGGTTAGCTTGCATCTCCCCACATGACTCAATCCAACAGTCAAACACTTCATACATTGGTGCCATGTTTTGGTCTATGGCCACCTCGAGCCTCAAGCCTTTCTCCAGCCTGAACCTACTTTGGCCAACATTATGTGACGGGGAAATCAACGACTAGGCATACGTAACATGTGTCCCAACCAGTCATCTCAATCAATCAATGAAGATTCACAACCACATCAACTGACTGACTGACTTAACTCTTCTCCCTAAAACTCTACACCTGACTTCTGAATTACTCACCTGGTGACACCAGGGAATACGGCGGCCTATACTACGAGGGCAGGGGTGGTCAAACATCTGAAGCCAGCCTTCTCATGTCTTCCACCTTCTTCAATGACCATGTTTCACACAGCTGTAGAGTAGAACAGAGGGTACTGGTGTGCAGTACACGCGACCCTTAATAAACATGGGGATATGACGGAGACACGACAGGTTGTGTAAGTTAGTGACTGCCACCCGAGCATTTTCTATTCGTGTAGAGATTTCATCGACCACTGATGAACGCATCATGGCTGATTCCACTTGACTTGCCAGTTAAGTGAAGTGGTCGACACACACACACACACTCAACCACTACACTCTCTATTGTTAGGTGTGGTGTTGTGTGGTGGGGTACCGTTGAAGACGAATCCTGGAGCAGCAATTCGTATTTGGGTGGTGAGAAACGCATTTTAAACATTCTGAGATTGCCACTCAAAGTGTTCAGAAGACTGTGCATCTTGTCAACGTCTTCACCTCTCTGGTTTCAGGTGTTTCATTACTGTTGCCTTCCTTGCATTGACCGTATGTTAGAGGAAACAATACGTTATTTACATAAAGATTAGGTGTGTATAGGCTATGGTAAGCTACTTGATTAGGGTTGCAAAACTTTAACGAATTAGGTGACTGCAGCATACTCTACACATGTCTGGTCACCGTCTCCTCGGATGCGCGATGCACGTCTATGTACGTTTAGACGAGAAAAAGGTTGGAGATGGTCAAACTACAGTGTGGCATCACTCTATGAAGTGTCTGGTTGTTGGTCTGAGCAGGTGGGGAAATGTAAATAGTTATATGGTTCACAATCGATCTCAATGACACAGATACATCCGTATATTAACACTATCTTAACCATCATAGTGAATTCTCGCTATTGTTTTATCCCTTCTGTCTCTCCCTTATTGCCAACTTACTGACTACTTTCTTCCTCATTCCTCGGTACAATGTATTCAGGTTATGGATTCAGAGAATGTCTAAGTAGATGGAGCACAGGGGTTGAATTTCAGATCCATTGCTTAAAAGTCGAGCATCCAGATCAATAAGCCACATCTACATAATCTTAAATGATGTCATGTACGCAAAAAAAAACGTCAGTTGAGACTAATGAAAAAAACGGAAAACAATACAGAGATAGTATATACTTACCGAACTATTGATAGCAGCTAATAAACGACCATTAAAATCAAGTATTCGATAGACTGAACCATTTACATCATGAACTTGAACAGTTTCTAATCTTGAAGATTCAGGATCCCAACGAAATAAATGAATTCGACCTTTAGATGGCTCTACTTCATCTTCCACTAAAAATGCAGTACCTACAGCAAACAATGGACCATTATGAATATCCGATTGAACAGATGCTATACTGACAGCAACTTCGACCAGTGTTTGACTAAAGTAAAAATTGTGTGCAAATTGAATCTCTAGATTGGATTGATTGAATATGAGAAGGGAAGATACTTCAATTTCACGGAACTTTCGTTCAGTCGCAGAAACTGAAGCTGTAAAAGTAATTAAGATTATTGAAATTTATCATAAATTACAATAAAAGCTTTTAAGGTAAACACATATATTTAGTTTCTATGACAAATTTGAATAATGCAAGAACAAAGACATTAGCAAATGAAAATAGGATGTCAAATAGACATTTCTTAACACTTCAGGAGAATCAATAAACAAAGAATGCCGATTAGAGAAAGATCACGATATCAAACATTTTTAACCTGACTTATATGTACTCAGAAAGAGATTGTAATTAACCTCTGAGTTGATTAGTTACAGGAGGGTAACTAACTTCATGTTGTCTAGTTCTGAGTGCAGATCGAATGTGACCACCACCACCAGTCCTACAGTAGGTCAATCGTGACCTAAATAGTTCAGTGGTGAATTAGCTGACTGGATGCTCTGATTGACGCGGGTACGAATCTCAGAAAAGGTATCAGTTCTGTTGAGGCTGCAGATATGCCTTGCTGATGAGTGTTTAACAAGCACGAAACCTAGGTCCATGGCTTACTGTTAATTGACTACAACCAACTAACGTATTTAACCTTTCTTTCCCTTGGTAACTGCATATAATTTTTCGCATGTGTATATATCTAATCTTCCTTTTTTTGACTGCATCATCCCTGACTGTTAACCACCTGACGATTTTCCAGTTTTTCACGTAATTACGTAACCTACTAGCTCTTAAACAGTCCCTTCTTTTACTCTAATTTTTATTTGTTCCCCCACCCCACAGCTCCAGAATTTTCTACCTCATCAGATATAAATCATCAATGATGTGTGATCATTAAGCTTGTTTTTCCTCACCTTACTATTATTTCTACATATTTAAGGTATGTTATATCATTATTATTACTACTACTACCACCACTAATACTTCATTTCATTTATAGACTGTTTTGAGCTGATGATTGGCGGGATCATGAAATAAAATGATCTCATTCTATTCTGAAAATATATTTGTTCTTAAATTGTTCAAACACCTATACGTAACTGTAGACAACAAATCTTTCAATACAGATTTCATCAGAAACTATAACTAATTAAAAGGTTGCAGATAATCAAAAAAAATACTGAACAAGTGTTCCCCCCTTAATTTTAGAGTCTCTAACAATGAGCACTTTCATTACTTTCAAAAGTAATTGGGACTTTCACCTTTGATGATTAGCGATCTACTGATGGGATAGGTGAATTGTCATGGAAAAATCAACTAAGGTTATATCGCTTCTCAGAGTTACAACACTTTAAGTTAGTCACTACACCTATTATATATCGTCTGTTGAAAGTAGAAGTTTTTTTACAACGTTTTTCTATTAACTACCAACGCAGGAAGATTTAGATTTCGCCGATGATGACTCGTGTCTAATGTCACACAAACTCAAAGATCTATAGGCGAAAACCAACTAGTTGGCAGAAGATGCAAGCCGAGGCAACGAAGACGGCACTTCATTCAGGTGAACATAGACAAGATACACGTGGTGAAGATACCCAAACAACAACAAACAATCATCATCAAAGACAGAAATCTAAACGAAGTTGTCGCTTTCACCTACAGACCTACTTACCTTCCCAAGCAGCATCACTTCAACTATAGGCCGCACAGCCACAGATCACGATGTCAAACACAGGATCGAAAAGACAACAAGACAGACCTTCCTTCATTAATCTGAAATCAATATGAAAATCTACTCCACTCAACTCAACTCAACTCAACTCCATTCAACTCAGCATAAAGCCTGAACAACATCACGATTTCCAACACGAATCTCAGTCAAGTCACTGCTTCTATGTGGTGTTCACACACTTGGCGTGTTACGAAAAACATTTCAAACAAACTACACACATACATCATCAACACCTGCCGCCTACAATATCTCGCTCACTCCATACTCAAGATCAGATGGCCACAAAGAATGAACAACAAGGAACTGTCGACTGGCAGCCAACCATCCAACCAACCAACCAACCAACTAATAACCTATCGTCTAACAAATATGCAGAAGAAAGTGAAGATGGATTGGACTGGATATACAATGATAAAGAAGACGGTTTGGGGGAAACATCAGGCACAACGCCAGTCCACACCGTCGAGTCTAATCCAAAGGGGAAACAACGAGTTGGGCGTCTGAGCCGAGGGTGACATGGAAGAGATGGTGTGAGGAAGAAATGAAAGCTTATGGGCAGTCGTGGAGCCAGGTTGGAAAGACTACAGAGAAGGGAGTGAAATGGTGACGTGCTACTGAAGCGGTATGATCCACTAGGAACCCAAGGGACAATTAATATAATAACAAATACATGCAGTCAGTTTCCCAAGGTCTTAGTAGGAAATTGGAGTGTATATATTATAGTAGTATGTGCGAAGGTAGGTTCGCTGATCACCACCTTAAACAACAATCATACTACTCCGTTGATTTACACTACTACTACAAAATACCACCTTGTTTCCTCATGCAGAGGAATAAAGACAAAACAAATATCCAGTACTTCATAACTTTGAGCTGTTCTACAATTAATATAAGCTGTTTGGAGGATAATATCATCAATTATATCACGTTCTGAATACCTAAACATTGTCGAACACATTTCTAAAAAACACTATATAAGAACTTACACGGTGCAGTTTTCGGAAGTCCACTAGCCGATTTTGGGATTTTCTGTGATAAAGAAATTGATGGTCGAACAGGTTTAAAGCCCATACCCTCTTGAAATATTTCTTGACGGTAGGTGATAACGCCTAAACTGCTAGTTTCTGATTGTAGTGCAAGACGTTTTGGTGTCTCCTCTAAAGGAAGAGTTCTAACATGCAATTTTTGAATTTCATCTACAGAACCAATGATGAGGGCAGATGGAGTAACCAGTGCAATGCTAAATGAATAAATAAAAACAACAGCAATGTTCTTTAAGTGCCAATATACTTGAATAATTAAAGGAGATCCTGTATTACATATCAATGTGCGTCATATCTAGGCTAGACTAAGGGTACTAGGCAAGGAAAGGAAAGTGGTCGATGACGTTGAGAACCACCAACTGAGATGGCTTGGACATGTCTTCTGCATGCTGAACCAATCTCTACTTCGATGTGTAATGCTAACAGAAGTCGGATTACGTCGGAAGAAGGCTCAGGATGGCTAGACTAGAATATGGCACTAATCAGTAAAGTCTATAAGTCTTGATCTCAATCGTATGCGTAGGGTTTAGGCTACGAGGTTGCGGTCTCTAAGATGATAGGAATCAATGGTTGGAGATCCTTAATGACATGATGGAAGTCGATCATAATGGTGCGAATGTACTCACAGTTCATTGTAATTTTCCTTCTCTTCCAATACAGCTTTATCTATCTTGGTATTAGTCTTTTGTTCTTATTATTTTAATGCTAATATGACGTGTGGCTAATTGAACCGATACATTTTTTCTGTGAGGTTCTGAGTCGGTTTTATCTGTTGTGTTTGTACTAATTAATATAAATATATTTATATCATCACATCAATTGTGTGAGTGATCAGGAGACCAGCAACAAAACGTTTGAAATGGATCCATATGATAAGAAATTGACAGTAACAGTAAGGGTGGTTTAACAAAATCCAAGAGAAACGATAATTATAATCCTACACTTTCAATTGAAGTAGACATAGAATAAATATGATTAGTTGTATAGCTCTGTAATCCAAATCAAACCTGAAGTTGTAAACAACTACTGCTAGACCATTCCTTAATAAAAAGGAAAATAATACTATATATTTTTTTAGTTTCAACTAACCAACTGTTTGAATTTTAAGGGAGTTGTGGGGATTCGGAAATATTTCAAGTTGTTATTCATCTTAGACTGACATCAGTTGGAGGAGCAAAGAAAACCTGGGAGAAATGGACAGTAGCTGTTTCATCCTAGTATGAGACTCCTCAGTAGTGCGCTACCACGACCCTGCCAGGGATCGAACCCATGACCTTCAGGTTCCGTGGCCAGCACGTTACCATTAGGCCCCTGGGTCAGAATCTAATGGTTCATATTTCAAACTTCTGTTAGCTCACGATATAGCACAACCGCCACCCAATATCATCGTTGAGTAACTGTCATCACGACCATCAACGATGATATTGGGTGCCCGGTTGTGCTATATCGTGAGCTAACAGAAGTTTGAAATATGAACCATTGGATTCTGACCAAGTGGCTTATTGGTAACGCGCTGGCCAGGCAACCTGAAGGTTGGGGGTTCGATCCCCGGTAGGGTCGTTGGTGCGCACTGTTGAGGAATCCCGTACTGGGACGAGGCAGCTTTCCAGTTCTCCCAGGTTTCGTTTGTTCCTCCAACTGATGTCAGTCTACGATGAATAACAACTTGAGATATGACCAACTATTTGATAAAGTCATTGGTTCAGAAATTTCGTCAATTTGACTCCCTAGGTAAATAAACAACAAGTTGAATAACGCAATGGAGACACTATTTTTAGAATAAGATGGCATCACTTTGTTTCATAGGATTTTCATCAATCACATACAACCTGAATAACTGCTGTAACAAATATTATCATAATTTATATAGAAAGCGACTTAAGATACCGGTTAATGTTTTGAAAGAGAATGATCAATGCCCTTTAGAGCACGGTACGGATGTTTTTCTCCACATATATAGCTAGTGCTTCAGTCCTACACAAATGATGAAACCGTCAGTCTTTAAAGCAGTTTAACTCAACTATGTGGATTGCTTGAGAATATGAATGATAAAAGCTGAAGGAACTGATATGAAGTCATAATACTGGAAGCGTATGCGAGGTTGATACTTCCCTGTTGCCCATCTATACCTTAGAAGACTATTTCTTCTTGCAGAAAAAGACTTGTGTGACCACAAAGCCTATTGGACATCTGCTTGAGGTCTGTTACACATCCTTTTGAAGATAATTAGTTTGAGATTTAGTTGTTTTAACGCCGAATAGAGAGAACCCATACCGCCGGCACCGGAAGACCGTGAGACAGAGACGGATGTGCTATTTTTGGGGTCAACCTTTTCTTACTCCTCCCCCCCCCCCTCCTCCTTCCAAAGGAAAAAGGTACTACTAATCATCCAAGATAAACACCTTACTGCTGTCACATCCCATCCAGCTACCATCGTCTTACCAATATCCAACAGGTTTTTCTCTCATGGTAGGCCCTCGAGGTTTATTGTGATATACAAGTCCGACCAACGCGTCAAGGTAGCAACTATCGGGCCGGATAACATGCGTTCAAGTCCATAACACAAGATCTATTACATTGTTCAGTGATTCATAGTGTCCCATTATCTTTCCTACGTCTTCTCTGATAGAAATATACACAACTATATTAAATGTAACTTGGAATGTGTAACTTTTTTAGAACAACCAACTAACTTTGTCGCCAGATAAATACGACTGTACACAACTCGATGATACAATCACTATCGTTAAAAAAAAATCTTTGTTCCTCTCATTCATGAATAAATGAATAGACTTTGCATTGCACTATTCCTATTACAAATCTAAATTTTTCTACACAATATATAATTCTTACCAATCATTGTAAAATACTCCATTCAATGGAGTCATAAAATTCACTTCTTTAAGATTTAAGTTGGCAAAAATCAATTTATTCTTAATTGAATATATCACACATGGATGATTTGAACAAACAAACACATTAACTTTACGTTGAGATCGCCATTGTCTAAGAAACATTGATGGACCAGTTCCAGCACTGACACGTTTTGTATCACGTAAGCAAATGTGATCTGTACACAGAAATGAAATACTCATTACTGACAATTATTAGAATATAAAATGACTCACAAACATTTCTAAGTGGTTTCATAGAAATCGACTGTATTCATTACAAACTATGACTCTCGAGCTAACTAAATGCTTCATCTAATTAGTGATGCACATTGAATGCCTAGTCGATGGTGCACATTTAGTTGTCTTTGGTCAGATAGTTAGTTTTGCTGGTGATTCTGACGGCCATAATAGTCTAAGCTTAGTTGCAGGACAGTGAATCTACTCGTGGTTTCAAAGTGAAGAAGTCAACTTAACACAGGTAATAGCAGAATGACTCAAAAGTTTATAAATAATCTGAGGTACCTAACTTGCTTGTTTAGGAGTGTGAAAATGCATGCAAGATATAATAAGGGTCTGTGACCTCCCCTGAGTACGACAGTGTTGTTCGCTATCCTCGCCTATACCTCTGGTATCCACTCGAACGAACGAAACGCACTCCGCCACCTTGTCTACATTCATGAACCACACCAATTGGTTGAGGCTTTCCGAGACTCATAAGGTGAATTTCGAAGATTCACCACAGTGTTTAGGTGAAGTCGGGTCCTGTATACATGTTCCAGAGACACAACATGCACCCATGACTCAAGATTCTACAGTTCTGACGAGCGATGCTTGCCGTCCTATTTGGCACAGAGTTCGGACGTTGAAGGCTCCTATATGAAATCGACAGCTGGGTCTTAGGAAGCTAGGAATGAAGTCACGATGGCTTTGATCATTTGGAATGGCCGTAGAACCTCGCCTAGTTAACTAGTTCACTAGTTACTAGCTGGTCCTAAGCCCGGATAAACACGCAAGGTTGGGCATAAAGCTAGCAACCCTACCTCGCAAAACAAATCCAATCCCTAAACAAACTTCAAAGCACAAAGAAAATATCTAAAATAAAAACAAACTTACTCCCCGCTGAAATCGGAGAGACGAAATGATGCGAGTTGGCGAAAGCTTTCGGCAAGCCAATTCGCCGATGTGTCTTCTCTCGATGAAATCAAAAGTAAGCATAGGGACATGGAATGTTTGCACAATGTTTGAAGCTAGCAAGGCTACCCAGATTGCAAAAGAAACGAGAACATATAGTATAGAAGCGTTAGGAATCTGTGAAGTGGAAGTGGACTCTCCAAACTGTCAACTGGAGAGTCCATAATCTACTCCGATATTGTCACCCTGACGACAACCACAAGCATACTGGGTTTTCTAGTGGCTATCATGATGCCCCCTCCCAACAGCATCGAAGGCTCTCATGCAGTGGGAACCAATCTCCTTCAGGATCATGACAGCGTGGTTCAACTCAAAAGAAGGAAAGTCACAATCAATCAATGCTACGCTATGCACCTACAAATAATGCAGATCAAGAAAAGAAGGAGGAGTTCTACAGAAAACTGCAACCGGTACTGGACAACACCCTACCCCAGTTGGAGACATCAAAATTCTAATAGGCGACATGAATGCCAAACTCGGATCGGACAACACAGGAAGCACTCGGTGAAATGAACGAGAATGGAGAGCTGTTTGCAGACTTCCGCGCATTCAACGATTTGGTGATTGGAGGCAGTGTGTACAAACACAAGAATATTCAAAAAACGACATAGATGTGATTTCACCAGATGGACACACTAAAAATTAAATTGACTTCATCTCAATGTGAAGAAAGTGGAGATGCAGCCTACTGCACACAAGATCAAGAAGAGGAATAGATGCAGGTTCAGACCACTCACTATCTAGTGAAAGGAACCTTCCTTCAAAATCAAGTTAACGTTGAAAGAAGTTGGTGATATACCACCGTTCAACTTCAACACCCAGAACAGAAACTGAACGATAAAACTACAAAAGACATCTACATGTCAGCCAGCCATCAGGCAAAAGTGGGAGACATTGAGCAACATCCCTGAAGAAACCTGTGTCGAAGAAAACTGGAACTCCTTGAAAGAGATGTTGAAAGAAGCCGCATAACCGGAAGGAAGAAACAAGTCAAGGAATGGATCTCAACAGACACAACGAAACTGACAGGGAAGGGAGAAGATGGCGAAGCAGAAGATGAACAAGTGCACTGCAGTGCAGGAATGAACAACGAAAAGGGGAACTGAACACAACATATAAAACACTACACTGGACAAAGAAGTGAAGAGTGCACGGAAAGACAAAAGACACTTCTACGACACACTGGTAAGTGAAGCAGAGGAGGCTGCTGATAGGAGAGACCTGATAACATTATATCAAATAAACAGGTTACTATCTGGGAGGGAAGAGATCAACTCAGATGAAACCAATAAGATAGTGAAGGAAACTTAGTTACAACCAAAGAGGAGCAACAAAGGAGACGATGGGCTGACCACTTCAGGAAACTCTTGAATCGACCACCACCAACACCCCTGCAACTCGTCCAAAAATACCACCACCAGCTCAGCCACAGTGAACACAAACCCAAAGACAAAAGCATAAGGGAAGTCCTGAACACCATAAGGCTACTGAAGGCAGCAAGACCAGATGGAATTCCACCAGAAATACTGAAAACAGACGCAGAGACAACAGCGGACACACCCATACAACTATTGCACAAGGTTTGGAAGAAAAGAAAGGTGCCTGTCCATTGATTGGAAGGAGGGCTACCTTTTCAAACTCCCAAACAAGGGAGACCTAAGTCTGTGCAACAACTTATTGGCGCGGAATCATCCGCCTGTCCAACCCAAACAAAATATTAAACCACATCATCCTGGAAAGACTAAAAACTCCTCTGGATTCATCATCATCATCATCATTATCAACATAGGACCAGGCATTACTGCATAACGGTCCGAGTTGCCACACCTCATATCAGCACATCAAGTAAAAAGGTAGTGAGGTGAAGGATGAAGATAAGTGAATGCAGTCAAAAGAAATATAAAGTACGAGAAGAAAGGAAAGAGGAGTGACAAAATAGTGAGATTCGGTATAGCGTTGTTAAGATGAGGATAATGTGTGTATACATCTGCGCCACTGACTTCGGTTCTGAGCCATATCACCTGGATTCAACTGGATTACGACCAGAACAGGCTGGCGGGCTTCAGGAAAAATAAATCAAGTGCCCATGAAATAGCAATGCTACGCTAAGCGTCATCATAGAACAGAGCACAGAATACCAGTCAATCGGATCTCTACCTCAACTTCATCAACTTTGAAAAGGCCGAGAAGTAATTTGGAAACTGCTTCAACACTATGCTTTTACTGCCACAAACCTTTATCAACCTCATTCAACGGCAGATATATGCTACATGATACTACATGCCAAGTGATTCACAATGGAAAGCTCAGTGATGCCTTTGAAGTGCAGTCAAGATACGGTTGCCGCTTATTATCACCAGTCATCTTCCTGATTGTGGTCAACTGGACTCGACTGGATCGTGGAACAAACTGTGAGGAGCGAGAAGATGGGCATACGCTGTTTGACCGATCAAAAAACCAAAGAAAAAGATTTGGATTTCGCCGATGATCATTTATGTCTAGCGTCGCACAAACTCAAAGATCTATAGGCGAAAACCAACTAGTTGGCAGAAGATGCAAACCCAGGCAACGAAGACGGCACTTCACTCAGGTGAACATAGACAAGATACACGTGGTGAAGATACCCAAACAACAACAAACAATCATCATCAAAGACAGAAATCTAAACGAAGTTGTCGCTTTCACCTACAGACCTACTTACCTTCCCAAGCAGCATCACTTCAACTATAGGCCGCACAGCCACAGATCACGATGTCAAACACAGGATCGAAAAGACAACAAGACAGACCTTCCTTCATTAATCTGAAATCAATATGAAGATCTACTCCACTCCACTCCACTCCACTCAACTCAACTCAACTCAACTCAACTCAACTCAAATCAACTCAAATCAACTCAACTCCATTCAACTCAGCATAAAGCCTGAACAACATCACGATTTCCAACACGAATCTCAGTCAAGTCACTGCTTCTATGTGGTGGTTCACACACTTGGCGTGTTACGAAAAACATTTCAAACAAACTACACACATACATCATCAACACCTGCCGCCTACAATATCTCGCTCACTCCATACTCAAGATCAGATGGCCACAAAGAATGAACAACAAGGAACTGTCGACTGGCAGCCAACCATCCAACCAACCAACCAACCAACTAATAACCTATCGTCTAACAAATATGCAGAAGAAAGTGAAGATGGATTGGACTGGATATACAATGATAAAGAAGACGGTTTGGGGGGAAACATCAGGCACAACGCCAGTCCACACCGTCGAGTCGAATCTAAAGGGGAAACAACGAGTTGGGCATCTGAGCCGAGGGTGACATGGAAGAGATGGTGTGAGGAAGAAATGAAAGCTTATGGGCAGTCATGGAGCCAGGTTGGAAAGACTACAGAGAAGAGAGTGAAATGGCGACGTACTACTGAAGGGGTATGATCCACTAGGAACCCAATGGACAAATAATAATAATAATAATGGTCGCAGAGCTAGAGGTTGGAGAAAGTAAGAGAGGCTCAATATTAGTATCAGAAGGTGAAGGCAAATGAGGAGACAGGTTTGAGGAGGATAGGTTACGTTTTATTGGGTCTTGTATACTACTTGAAGTATGTGGAGAGCTGACACCTCCCAAACGCCCAACACCATGAAAAGCTATTTCTTCTTGAGGTACTTAAAAAAGAAAAAGAGTAATGTGACCGCAGAGCACATATGATAATCTTCTTGAGGCCTGTAATACACAGTCTATTTACTACAATTCATATTTTACCCTCATGAATTCCAGTATAAGAATGCTTTTAGTATAGTCTAATTGAAAGAAGTAGTTTACACTCAGTCCTGAATAGTTTAGGAGCTCAAACCAATAAGTCAGCCGACCAATTAATAAGCGAAATGGTGTTGACTTTAAGATAAATATGAAAACTAAAAGTTGAAAGTAATCTTTCCGATTATATGTAAACATAGTATAGAATCATCATGAGTATTGTCAAATAATTGGCTTACCTGCAGAAGGATCAATAGTATAAAAGTAAAGCGTGCCATCACCCATTGCAGCGAATAAATAAGCCATATCCTCTAACTGAGCAATGAGTACAGAACGAGGCAGTAAAGCAGTGCCAGTTGATGCAGTTGTCTCCGGCAGTGGTTCTTCATGAACAAGTTCCAAGTTAGGAAGTTTCAGTAAAGCAAGACCATGACCTAACCATAAACCAACAGCAACTAAATGTGGTACAGCTTCATTTGGAGTAGATAATGGAGTTGTTTCCATATGATTTGATGAACCTGCATTAATTGCAGCTATAGCACGACCATGATCAAAGGGGGTTAGATCAACACAAGCCACTTCATGAGCCATTTGTCTATGTCTAAATAATCGAAAGTGAAGAATATCAAAGTGAGGCATTGAAACAACTGGTGATTGATATTTTCAACACTAGTGTATCTTGAATCCCTCTCTTTTTATTTCACCTAGTTATTCACTCATACTGAAAACTTGTTATTTATTATCCTGTCCTACCGATTGTTGATCTCATCTCGCTAGAACAACTCGAGCATAGACGCGAACTGTATCATTTTTAAATATGGAAGACAATAAAGCTTTCTATTCTCACTACATGTATATTCACTAGAGACTTATTCGTCAAAAGTACTGAAACTAACCGGTTAGTTAAAACAGTTACTGAATATTTCAATATCCTTAGTTTGAGAACAGATGAGGGAGGCAATTTCATACTATTGATGAGATTATCAAACTTTCACATGACAATATAACAAATGCATATTCATCAGTATTAATCATAACAACTAGTGAACTTTAAGATAAGGTACTAAGATACTTCAAAGAAAAGAAGACAGAGAATTCAATCATGTATACTTCAATCGATTATCCCATTTATTTTATCAGCTTTCAACTAGCTGGTTACTGCTGTGTGCTTTACTGTTTACAGAAGTAACGGTCATATCATAACCTTATGTTAGGGGTGCCTAATCCCTAGGAAAACTAACTTTTAATATGTTTATATTATTATTGTAAAATCTAAACCTTATTTTCTCGCCCTTTTGCGCCATGCTATGTTAGTTACCTTTACAGCAGTTTAGGATGCTGAAAGCTGATTGGTCCATTTTACACTTTGAATACGCCTAGTTTGTTTTCCCTAGCCAAAGCTATTTAAAGATATATAAACGACTAAGTTTTCAGCGATCATTACTCTGTTGAAGTAATATACTTCCAATTCCATCATCTTCTTCAGATATCAGCTGAATATCAAATTGAGAAGTCATTGTTCTATCGTTAATCATATCACGTTGGACCATTGTGTCGTCACATATACCGCGAAGCACAACACCTGAAATGCCATTTTTGAGCATATTTAGCTTAACAGGGACTGTGTACACCTTATTCACTCATATTTACAGATGGGCTATCAAATAAGAAACAAACTCCCGGTAACAGGGTTGTCAGTATCTCGTCTAAAATCAATCGGTGTACTATGGTGATGAGTCTTTTAGCTTGCTAACTATATCACAAAATGATCGGTAGAATTCGATGAGTATTCAAGACAAGACAACATGAAATTGGTTACTCTTCAGCGACCAACCAATCTACCTAATCCAGTCCTTCATACAAGGTTGATCACAGCCTGAATAGCTCACCGATAAGGTGTTTGACTGCAGCACCGAGTGACACAGGTTCGAATCTCGTAGGGGGACATCAGTTCCTTAGTGGTTGCAGATGCTCCATATCGATAAGCATCGACAAGCACGGAACCTAAATACACAGCTTCCTGAAGGTTGTCTCTAACCATCTAAATATCTCGTCTTGCATGTAATTCAATCAGTAACTAGCTAGTAAATGTGATAAATTATAGTCAACTGTGGAGCATATTCAAACAATAAGATGTGTAGAAAGTCATCATCATATGATAGGGTCGAATAATGTTTTCAGTCATACTGCCCTTACAACAGGAATTTTAAAGCGACATGATCCAAGCTCTGTGAAGTCAATGAGTATGTACTCAACAGACTACCACCAGTTGCTGTATTTAAGCAACAACACTGAGAGTAAAATGCTTTCACCACTCCTACCAACTTGGATGGAAAGACAATAGACATAGCTGAGTATGCGATATCGTATCAACCTATTACCAAATCCATAGAAATTAAACGAACAAAAAGAGATAAACACTTACGAAACATGTTCAAATTTCGGATTATTTGCTTCTCCAATCACTTTAAGGACATACAACTCGGTTCCACTTGCTACAACAATTGTATGATGAAAAGAGCTAAGACAAGAGATTCCACGTCCAGTTGGTGGTCGCCATTCTGTTAGACAACCTTTACCACAAAATGATTGAATACCAATCAATCGTAGACCACTTGTTGTAGCTTGTAAAAGTAAAGGATCACAAGCAGTAGTGGAATCCTTGTTCTCTAAAATTATCATACTCTCTGATTTAGATAAGTCATCCACAGGTGATAGTGTAGCACAATATACAGTTTGTTCATCAGTTTTAAAACCTTCTAGATGTAAGGCTGTGATATCATCATCGGCAAGACGCAGAAGTCTATAACATAAATGGAGATCAAAACGCATTCATCATAGAATAATCTGAAGTAGGAATGAAAGAGAACACGAACTGTACATATGGCAAATTAGTTTCAATCCTCATAATGTACCTAGACAGGGTATGTGTATTTACGTACTAGGCTATGAGGCACATCTTTTGTGTGGGGGATTATGATAATACCTGATTGCCCAGACCTCATCATATCACCACATTAAGTAAAACAACAGTGAAGTGGAAGATGAAGAAAAGAAAATTCACTCAAAAGAAATACAAAGTACGAAAAGAGAGAAACGAAGAATGAGGAAATGGTGAGATTCAGTATAGCGTCGTTAAGATGAGGATAATGTGTAAACATTTGCACCACTGACTTCGGTTCTGAGTCATGTGAGTCAGTCTCCAACCCCTGGTTTGCCTTGTTGCACGGACCCCAATCGGCTAGCCTGAATCGCTCCACATGGCTCAAACACTTCATACATTGATGCCATATTTTAGTATGGCCACCTCGAGCCATACCCCAGCCTGAACCTACATTGGCCAACATTATGTGACGGGGCAATCGGCGACTAGGCATGCAAAACATATATTCGAACCAACCATCTCAGTCCATGAAGGTTCATAATCTCGCCAACTGATCTACCTCTTCTCTCTGGCCTTGACACCCTCATGTGTGCCTGTGAGGCCTGTAGTTGAGACGATGCTGCCTAGGAAGGTAAGTGGGTAGGTAGGTAAAAGAGACAACTTCGTTTAAATTTCTCGCGTTGATGATGACTGGTGCTTGTTGTTGTTGGTTGGGTATCTTCACCACGTGTATCTTCTCTACGTTCATCTGTAGGAAGTGCCGTCTTCGCTGCTTCGCTTTGCGTCTTCTGCCAACTTGTTGGTTTTCGCCTATAGATCTTTGAGTTTGTGCGACATTAGACATAAATGATTATCGGCGAAATCTATTAGATAAACTAAATTCTTTTTCGAAATTGTGTTTACGTAAGAGACATGATGAGATAAAAATCCAATTTAGAAAGCATATACTGGTTCGTGTACTACACGCTACTAAGCGTACAAACTGGGCAGATGAATGATACAACCTTGATGTATCCCACCGATAGAGGGTTCAGGTTTCCGACTGCAGACTCATTGATTGAAAAGTGGGTTTCTATACCGATGGCACTGAGACAAGACGGACAGATAAAATCAGTGTAGAACGTCTCATACACAGGTACATCAGTTCAAGCTGCTACACTTCACATCAGTATGACAACAACAAATGTAGAGAGAAAGAGCGATATAAAAAGTTGACAACGGTATATGGAAAAGAAAGAGAACTTAAAAATTAAGATTGATGAAAATGATCAAATTTTAGATGTTAAACAGTGAATACATCTGAGCCACTGTAATCGATTTCCACCCATGTTGCTAAGGGCCTTTAATCATTAATTCCAATTATCTCGGAAAGTTCAAGCAAATAGTTGATACCTTCTCATTTGGCCCAGGTTAACAGACAGATGCTTATTTATTAAACTGTCATCAAAATACAGGGCAAAAAAGTTACTTCACTAAAGAAATGTAGGCAGAACTAAATTTTACTGATCGTGTTATTCGAAAGAATTTATAGGGTAATAACTTGTCTATCTAGACAATACAAACCTGGTGGCCATGAGGACAAATACTCAACGATGACACTGGTTGATGGTCGCGCTATATTATGAACTAACAGAAGTTGAAAATATTGACCATTAGATTCCGACCCAGTGGTTCAATGGTAATATGCTGGCCACGGAACCAGAAGGTCGCGGGTTCGAGTGCCGGTGGGGTCATGAGTGCGCACTGCTGAGGAGTCTCATACTAGGATGAAAAAGCCGCTGTTCAGTGCTGCCGGGTTTACAATGTCCCTCTGACTGATGTCAGTCCATGATGGATAGCAACTTAAAAAAATACTTACTGAGTTTGACCAACCATGGATACAACAATTGTATCGTCGAAACGATCGGATTCAATAGAGAAACACCATGCTCCTGAAAACAAAATATTCACATATGAATGGAAAGGGGAATTAGTGGGAAGACCAATAATGAGACTGTAAAAGTATTCAATGGAAAACCAAAAAATAAAGTTTAACTGAGGACTGTTTCAAAATCAAAAGTTAGTTGACCAAAGTGAATTTCCGTACTGTTGGATAAATCGAAATCTGTCGATGTATACATTCACAACACCTGTGACCCATATACAAATGCTCTAGAGAATGAAACTTCAGTGCTGACAGAGTTGTGAGGGCAGTTGACACTTCCTGACTGCCCATCCCATGGAAGGCTAATTCTTCTTAGGGTATCTGAAAAAGAAGGGTTAGTGCTTGACCGTAAAACCTAAGGGACATCTGCTTGTGGCCGGTCACACATGACTTTTCTAAAAGTTTGAGATGTACGTGTGTTAGTTTCCAAAGAAATACAAAGTACGAAAAGAGAGAAACGAAGAATGAGGAAATGGTGAGATTCAGTATGAACCTGCATCAACTGGACCTGAATACTGTGGGGAAAGAAAGTGATCGCTATTTTTACGGACGACCTTTTTTAACCCCACTCTACCTATAGAGAAGGGAGCATCAGCATAGCACTGCTGGTCATACAAGGGAGACACCTTACTGCTGTCACATCCCCATTCAGCTACCAGCAGTACGACTTCTCACTCAAAACTCTATCATAGAGTCGCAATTCACATTATAATGGTAACTATTGTCTTATCACTAACCAACAAACCTTTCCGACATGATAAGACCTGGAGGGAACAAACCTTTCATCAGCATATATCATCGGGTCATTGTGTTATGCAAGCCGAAACATCATGTCAAGATGGCAGATATCGGTTGGTCATCTATCATTCTACCCAGAAATGATAGATATCTATGCCTTTCTGACTAATAGAGTGAAGTTGTTCAATAAAATGCTCACGCTTAGTTATCTTAGAATATTAGTACTCATGTCACCATTGAAAAAAGTCACACAGATGGAGAGTTCGAATAGTTTACAATAAATAATATTAATCACGATGTCACCAAGGTAACTCATTAAAATCTGTAATGTGTTTTCAACAGATGAGATATGGATAATAGGAATATACAAATCCAGGAAGCTTTGATTCTGTAGCCGAAACGGAGTACTTTCATAACAGTAACATAACCCCTAGCGGAATCATGCTGCTGTCCTACCCCAGCAAAATATTAAGCCGTATCATCCTGGAGAGACTAAAGGATGCACTAAAATCAAAACTACGACCGGAACAGGCTGGCTGGATTCAGGAAGTACAAATCATGTGCGGACTGAATTGCAACGCTACCCTACGCATCATCATAGAACAAAGTATAGAATGGCAATCAACTGGATCTCTACCTCAACTTCATCGATTTTGAAAAGGCCTTCGACAGCATCGACCAAAAAGTAATCTGGCAGTTGCTTCAACACTACGGAATAACACAAACCTTTATCAATCTCATTCAACAACTATATGAAGACTGCACATGCCAAGTGATTCACAATGGGAAGCTCAGTGGTGCCTTTGAGATGAAGACAGGAGTAAGACAACGTTGTATACTGTCACGCATGATATTAATGATTGTAGTGGACTGGATCATGCAGCAAACAGTGAGGAGCGAGAAGAGGGGGATACGCTGGGCCGCGGAAAAGAACCTAGAAGACTTGGGTTTCGCCGATGACTTGTGTCTAATGTCACACAAACTTGAAGATCTACAGGCGAAAACTAACAAGTTGACAGAAGAGGCGAGGCAGCGAAGATGGGACTTCAAGACAACGTAGAGAAGATAGAGGTGATGAAGATACCCAACCAACAACAAGCTGCAATCACCACCAACGGGAGAAACTTAAATGAAGTAGTCTCTTTCACCCACCCTCCTCCTAAGCAGCACTGTTTCAACTACAGGCGGCACAGGCGCAGACGAAGACGTTAAAGCCAGGATTAGAAAAGCGAGACTGGCGTTCATTAACCTGAAACCGGTGTGGAGATCTTCTGCACTCAGCAAAAAGCGTGAACAACATCCGGATTTCCAAAGCTTCTGTATGGCTCAGAGACTTGGCGGGTTACAAAAGGGATTTCCAACAAATTACAGACATTCATCAACAACTGCCTACGCTGGCTCGTTACTGAAGATCAGATGGCCAGAATAATAACAATAAGCAACAAGGAACTCTGGCTGGCAACGAACCAACCAAGAACCTATCGCTGAACAAATATACAGGAAGAAGTAGAGATGGATTGGGCATGCACTGAGAAGACCGACTGGGAACATCATGCGCCAGACCAGGCCCTCGAGTGGAACCCAGATGGAAAGCGACGAGTTTAGCGTCCCAACTGAGGGTGACAAGGAGGAGATCGTGCGAAAAAGAAATGAAAGCTTCTGGGCTGTCGTGGAACCAGTTTGAAAAGTTTGCAGAGAACAGAGTGCACTAAAGACGTGCTACTGAAGCCCTGTGTTCCATTAGGAACCTAAGGGACAAATAATAAAACAATAATAATAAACATAACCCTTAACCAATTTCTGATTGAACTTTTTTTGTAGTAAACCATGCGTTTTTCTTACAATGATTACATTCAAGTTTGAACGTATACTAATTAACAATGGATCGGACAGTTTTATAAACTAGGGCACAGAGTTAGTATGATTCATCGTATAAAGTCACCTTCTGTACCAAAACTTGAATATTAACCTGAAAACTTTTTAATGTCAGATTCATACTCTTGCTGAATGGGATTTGTCTTAACTGATTGACATAGATTCCAGTTTATGAATAAACCTCCCACCTTTTTGATGTAGTCGTCTTTATCCATGACTATTTTGATGAGATCTTTGTCAGCTGGAACTACAACGATGTTCGTTTGATTCTTCAGTTTCTTAAGTATTCTCCGTTGTTCATCGGTTAGTTGAATATTGTTTTGATTCCGCCTGATTAGAAGTAGGATTAATTGTCGTAGTTCCTGTTGGGTTCCAGAGTTTAGCCCTGAAGGGTCTCTCCCGTATTTTAATTTAGTCCTTTGTGAAGAAGTTGCTCGGGTTTGGGCAGATTTTGTTTGGACAAGTTGAATACACAATCATTTTCTTTTTACCCGTGGTTCTGAAATTTTCACAAGCTTCTCTCGAAGGATATTTCCTCACCGTTCTCTGTGTTGTCTGCTTGATTTCTTAATCACAGTTGTCAATATTGTAAAGTGTTCTGCTGTGAGTATCTCCTGAAGATTTCTCTTTTGTCTGGCTATCATCTGTTTATATTTCCGAACCCTATAATAATGACCGTCGGTGATCAGCAGTTCTACTACGTGTCTTCCACCACTTTTCAGTCTATTGGACAATCGATAAGTGGTCTGTATCTGAAACTAGTTAGCAGAACATGCCGACGCAGACACTCGAGGAGAAAATATGGTTGTTCTCTTGTGGACGCCTGCATTCCAACGAAGTCCTCCAGTTTCTCAACAATAAGTGTTTGATCCTAGTACGATTTTGAAATGACTGAGAATATCTCTTTATATCTATCTACATGAATATCAACTAGCAGTGAAACGTGATGATATACCTTCACTCATATCAATGCATACGGACAACTGTGGACATCAATTTGACTCGGAAAATGTGGAAATCCTGGATAGAAGAAATACAAAGAATGCCAGAGAATTTTTAGAAGAGTGGCATTTAAGTCAGTCAGTAAACAACAGACACTGACATTGACCCAATCTGTTAACCAATAAGAAACAAGAACAAGGTCAAATTTCAGGTTATCAGGACAACCAATCAGAATAAACATGGAGACAACCGTAAGGCCTTAGTAGAAACAACCAATCATAGACAAGGCTATCAGGACAAGGTAGTAAATAAATTGCAGAGAAAACTGCACAGCTCATTTCTTTCTAAAGTTTATGATGATAATGCTGTTTAGAATGACAGTACGGAAGATTCACTTCATAAACTATCCAGCTCAGAGAACACAACACTATCAAAATCAGATAGGTTTGATATACGTGTATCCATTGCAAGTGTGACATAAACACAACCTCTAAATACTACTTTGGATTTTGTAGTGAGTTTTAGAACTGCTGAGTTACGACTAACTGTAAGTTGATGGTGTTACTATGGACAGTCGTTTAGGATCATTATTAGCTGATGTCTACATGTCACATGTAGAACTTTTGGCTAAGGATATTTATCAGCAAAGTCTCTTTATATGGGATATACGTTGATGATATCTTAGTTATATGTAACAAACGCGAGAATGTGAAAAGTCTTCTAGGATCGACTTAACACCGTACAAAGCTACATTAATTTATCCTGTGAAGCAGAAAATAATAATCAACCTCCTTTTCTTCACTAGAAGGGAAGATGGGTCGATAAAAAGATCAATGTATAGAAAACCTACGTGGACTGGACAGTACCTTTACTTTTATATAGTTTCCGTCCAATATAGTACAAGAGAGGTTTATTAAAATGGTTATTCAAAAGAACTTAATGCATCTGTATAACAGATACATTGGAAGAAGAATTCAAATATTCAACAGAGATAGTCATGAAAAACGCATATCTTATAAAAACGTCTCAAGGGTGCGAACTAATCAGTATCGTGTCTCCAAGATGGATATTTGCATCACGCTACCGTATAAGGGAGAATCAAACAGTATGATCTTAAAAAGAAGATATACTGTGGAGCCAAGCCCAATATTATCGGGAAAATGAAACCTATGCAGCAAAATAAACCTCATCATGATTACGTCACATCCCTCTGTGTATACTAATTCACATGTGTGTACGGTGACATATAACATTGGGAGGAGGAGTAATCGAACTATGAAGTCGACGGTAGTGGAGCATTTCCCTAAATGGTTAAAAAAAAACAATTACATTGAAATAATCCGATAAATATAAGGAGCAGAGAGACGTCATCGTCGATAGGTAAACATACATTAAAGAAACAGATCATAGGATTGACGCCAAAACAGCCTTTAGACCATTGTATAGGAGCTATCAAGCTTGTTCCATTGTACGATAGTTCAAACCCCCATTTAGAAACAATTTGTCTTTACCTTAAACCTTCAGCCTTGTTAAAATTTATCTCATTTTAATGCCAAGGGAGGTATGAAAATGTATGATTATCCCTCCTTATTATTATTATCCCCTTATATTTTCCAAATCTTGTATTATCTTTATTTATTCATTTTACCCCATCGTATTTATGCTTTTCGAATGTGTAAGACGAATTCAATAAATCCACTACCATATACAAGGTTTTTTTCGGATCAAATCAAAACTAGTGTCCCTACAAGTAAGGGGGGGGGGCATAGTTGGAATCAGTCTGATTATGTCTTTTACAAATCAATCTTTAGTGTAATTAGTGCTTAACTACCTTTTGTCAATCATTAAAAGAGTTAATTATAGACAGTAAACAACCGAAATCTATTCAAAACAGTAAGAAGTACTAGGGAGAAAAGTAACAGTATCTTTAATGATGATAATAATACTAAAATGATCTATATATAGGTACTGCTAAACCTTTCTTATTCTTCCCCAATGACCCTATTAGTTGAAAAACAATAACAATTAGCTAACATGTCTAAAATTAAGGATTGAACAAGGCAATGTTTATGTACAATAAAAAGGATTTCAGAAACCCATCTTGTAAACCCAACACTAGTTAGTCAAAGCATAACACCATTAAACAACGATACCATCCATCAGAAAAGGTGTTGAGATTCTCCGATACCATTAGTTGGGGACACATTACTGGATGGACAATAAAAAAAACTCGAAAAATTGGCTCAAGTTAACACAAGAAGAATATGATGTTCGACTGAAGTGAGTTTACTCAAATCGAAGTATGAAGGAACAACCTAAGGATAGAAATCTTAACTTGAGCGTACATATCATACATACGCTTTCAGGCGAATATGCGAAATACCATATTAAAAGAGAGAGATTTAGCAATAGGAAAACAGCTTCCTTAGAAGTGGTAAAGCTGAGCGATGCATATAGGTCAGGAAAAGGCACAAAAAAAGATAGTTCAAATTTTCTACAAGGTAAATTTAGAAAATCTAAGCATAAATCATTCATTTTCAGGGGATAACAACACCCACACCCCACCCCAACAAAAGATACTGAATTACTTCAACTGTAGGTCTATCTTCTCCGACACTTGACACATACACAGATTTTTGAGGGAGTTGTGGAGATTTGAAAATATTTCAAGTTGTTATTCATCGCAGACTGACATCAGTTGGAGCAACAAAGGAAACCTGGGAGAACTGGGCAGCAGCTGTTTCGTCCTAGTACGGGACTCCTCAACAGTGCGCACCCACGACCCTGTTACGGATCGAACCCGCGACCTTCAGGTTCCGCGGCCGGCATGTTATCATTGACCCACTGGGTCAGAATCCAACGGTCCATATTTCCAACTTCTGTTAGCTCACGATATAGCGCAACCGCCACCCAATGTCATCGCTGTCCAGTGCTCTCAGGTTTCCTTTGTTCCACCAACTGATGTCAGTCTACGATGAATAACAACTTGAAACATACACAGATTGTTGCTCACCAAAAGAAACATTGATACCTACCCGTTAGATTATAAGTTGAATGTAAAATGAAACATAAGAATCAAGTACATATTAGTGTGTCAGGCAGGTGCTGTGTGCCAGCAAAAAAAAATGTTGATTGTTAAAACTTTCACACGGACAGGGTTCGAACCCATAGGTAACTGGGTAAAAGTTGAGTGTTAAGACAAAAGGTAGGTGTGATAGAGTTCAAAGATTAGTGAGAAGTATGAGTGGTTGAAACGCTGTACCGTTTACAAACGTTATGTACACCATACTTTGAAATATCATTAACATACAGTGTCGGAGTGATACAACTGAAATATAGTTACAAGATAACAATAATTCAAATTGGATTTTTATGAGGAACCTGGAAGCACTGAACACCAGCTGTTTCGTCTTAATATGAAACTCCTTAGCAGTAGGAACCTACAACTTGGTTCTCCCTCATTAGAACTTCGGGAAATTTCATCTCGAACACTGGGAAAAGTAATCGAGTTTGGAGCTTCGTAGGGTTTTATTGATTTCAAAGTGATGTTCACAACGGATTGGCATCAGTTAGATGAGCACCACTAAGGTGTCTCATAACAGGACGAAACAGCTATCCAGTACTCTCAGGATTTTTATTCTTCTTAAACTGCTACTATTGGATTTGAATAAATCGATACAAAAGTAATTATGGTTGAGAATGTTCTGTAGTTTGCAGCTCCGTAAGCAAATGGATATCTTAATTCAATTGCACTGAGACTGTTGGCTGTGGAAGTGTTCTAGCAACACGCCGGCTACTGTCTTTGGATTATCATTAAAACGTATATACAAAGCATTTACCTTTAATCAAATCTTGATCAATCGTTGCATGTTCATGAATGCCAATTCCATTACGTATTACACGTAAACTGCCTTCTTTATAAGCTCCTGAACATGTAATCAGCTGATTTTGACCTTTTGTTTCTAACAGGACCATGTCAACTATTGGTCCAATATTTGTATAAGTTTCTAAAATAGTTATATAACTATTTCGTTCAGGATCTGGATCAGGATTGAGACGAATTAATTGTGAATCACCAAGTGTTGAACCGACAAAAACCACTCCGTTATCTAAATAGGCTATCGATTCAGGTGTTGCAGTCTCCCCTGATAAAAAGGATCACATAACAATGAAGGGATTAATAATAGTCAATTGATAATAATAGTAGTGATAATAATGATAATCATAATCTACATACAGTCATACAGCTGACACTAAACAAGCACACATCCGTAAAGTGCTGTTAGGTAATTAATGCTTCTTTTAAACTAATGAGTGCAACATCGTGTAACACATTGGCGAATAGTTCCAGTTCACAAGAACCACGAGTTCAAAATTCAGTTCAATATATGTATGGATCACAACACAGGAAACAATGTGATATAAATCAATTGATATAAAACATCTATCAATCACTATCTAGCAACCTTTATATGCTACCAGGTCTCACTTCAACGAAAGACGAGAAGTCCTCTTGTCATAACCCCAGAAGAATCAGCCTGACGGACAGAGTGTCCAAGATTCTATGTTCTATAATTCTTCGACGCCTGAGTGGAGCTCGGGAACAACAAGCCCGAGAAAACCAGGAAGGATTTAGCCCCGACCGCGGGTGTATCGACCAAATATTCACAGTGCGCCAGGTTCTGGAACACAGCCACACTTACCGACACTCGATAATAGCTGTACTTCTCGACCTGAAGGCGGCGGCATTCGACTCCACTGATCTTATGGCAATGTCTCTCACTGAGAGGCGTACCGAGTAAGTACAACACCCTTCTTGAAGACTCTCTACTCGAACACTTGTGGACGTGTTAGAATCAATGGTGAGATGTCTGAGGAGCTGTGCTCGTCGAGTGGTGTCCGCCAAGGCTGTTCACCCTCTCCATTCTTATTCAATTTTATCATAGATATTCTTATGGAGGTTTCTCTCTCGTCACATGATTAAACACACAGACGTTGACCTAACCGCAGCAGAATTTTCATTAGACCTAGAATACGCACATGACATTGTCCTGTTAGGGGAAGACGCTGACAAGATGCAGAATCTTGTGGACATTTTGAGTGACAATTTGAGAATGTTTGGGATGCGTTTCTCACCACCCAAATACGAATTGCTGCCCTAGGATTCATCTTCAACGGTGCCTCCCTGGCTAACAATAGAGAGTGTAGTGGTTGAGTGTGTTGACCACTTCACTTACCTGAGAAGCGAAGTGGGATCAGCCCTGGTGACTAGCTCAGTGGCCGATGAAATCTCTGCAAGAAAATATAAAAGGCTCGGCTGACTTTCGCCAACTTACACCATCTATGGCGCCACCGTGATATCCGATTGTGTATTAAGGGTCGCATGTACTACACATCAGTACTCTCTATTCTTCTCTATGGCTGTGAAACATAGCCATTGAAGGTGGAAGACATGAGAAGGCTTCAAGTGTTTGACCACCGTTGCCTTCGTAGTATAGGCCGCCGTATTCCGTGGTGTCACCACGTGAGTAATTCAGAAGTCAGGAGTAGAGTTTTAGGGAGAAGCGGTAGGTCAGTTGGCGAGGTTATAAACCTTCATCGATTGAGATGGCTGGTTGGAACATGTGTTACGTATGCCTAGTCACCGATTGCCTGAAGTAGATCCAGGCTGGGAGATGGCTCGAGGTGGCCAGACTAAACGATGGCATGAATGTATGAAGCGTTTAACTTTTGGATTGAGCCATTTGGGGCGATGCAGACTAAGTGGTTGCAGTCCGCGGGACAAGAGGAACCAGTGGCTGGAAACTCTTGGTGATATGGCTCAGAACCGATGTCAGTGGCGCAGATGTATACACACACATTATCCTCATCTTAACAATATACCGATTCTCACCATTTTGTCATTCTTCCTTTCTTTCTCCTCGTACTTCATATTTCTTTCGACTGGATTTTCTTATCTTCATCTTTCACCTTACTACCTTTCTACTAGACGTACTGATATGAGGTGTGGCAACTCGGACGGTTACGCAGTAATGCCTGGTCTTATGTTGATATTGATGATGCTGATGATCACTTCAATGGCAAATCATGACATATAGGCGAAAATTGTATTCTTCAATAGAAATCCAAGTTCAGTGTGAATGTCTCAAGAAGTTCGGAGCAGACTTCTGAGGGGGATATGAATTAAGCTCAAATACTGTCTTATGGGATAAGCGTAAATTCTCAAGAGTCTACTCAAAATGACGCTTCTGAAAAAATTGAACGAAAGCTCAATTTGATTCTTAAGAAAACGTAGAACGAGTATACCATCAGCCCCAAACTATCTCAGCAATTCCTACCATTTGGTTCTGTAACTTCTCCCTTATATGATCTCCCAAAAGTACACTAAGGTTTTCACCTAGGTCCAATTTGGAATATGAACGGTTCACCATACTATGCTATCGCCAAACGGTTGATGAATGCATCCGGTAAGCAAATGATTCCTCTTGATGTAGTTTCTGTCTTTACCAACATCCCTCTCAAGAAAAATGTTTTCTATATGATTTCACTGAAGATAATAATTTTCACATAGCATTATTTAGAGGAATTACTTCTAAAGTATACTTTTAATATGGACTTCAAATTCAACAATGTGCTTTATATACGAAAAGATGGAGTGGCTATGGGGGTAACCACTTAGACCGCTGTTTGGCTGGCTGTTTTATGGCGAACTTGGAGAAGCGTACGCTCCACTCAACAACCGATAACTTTCACCTATAATGAAAGATAAATGGATGATACAATCATCATATGAGATTAAAATACAGATATTGGGAATGAAAAGTTCAACGGTTGTCATCAATCGGTCAACGTCACATCAGAATTTGAAGACAACTCAGAATCTCATTTTCTCGATGTCTTGTTGAAACGGAAACTAGGCTGCTCCCTTCAGAAATCGATTTATGAGAAGCCAACATGAATTAGACAGTACTTGAATATCTGTAGCTGTGTGTCTCATCATAAAAAGGAATCTGATTCATTTTTTGCCATCAATAATCAGAAAAAATTTGCACTAGTAATACTATCGACGATGAATTGGACAAACTACAGAAAATTCTCCGACAAAATGGATACCAATCCAGAGTTACTGAGAAAATTTTGAAGTTAAAACAGAATACAGAACAAGTACTCAAAGCTCCGAATAAGACTTTATTTCATACGGCAGCAAGGATCCAGAAAAAAAAATTCTTTTCTGCGAAGCTTCTATAGTCAGCAGCCGATTCCAGAGGGTATTAGGACAAGTTACTGCTTTGGGCTATCTCAATGTGTGTCCACAAATTTACTTATCTTTGAGCATTATCCTACATGGTTGTCGAGGGGAGAATGTAAATCAATGAACAGTTTCATTCTTCAATATTTGGTTAACTCTGGATATATATCTCCACCACTCATTTTAGTTTCACTTACAGAGTCAAAGGAAATAATTCAAAAAGAGTACGCTCTTGACAGTTGTGCACTACTGTATAATCACTGGCAATTCACCATCTCTGCGTGGAGAAGAAGTATGTTCAATCTTTTATCTCACCATGACCTTAACACCATCATAATTCTTCGGTTTCACTATAATTAGTTGGTTAACTATTATCACCTTCATTATGACCGTTCTTTCTTTCTTCACCTTCTTTACATCTACCGAATGGGCAGTCACAATCATCGTGTTTCGTATCTACCAACAATCTTCACCTTGTCAAACTCCTTGCTTTTCTCATGATTTCCATTATCTAAAAGACTATTACGTAACTACTTCCCATTGTTGATTCCAGTTTTCAGAACTAGCCTAATCATACAACCATACTCTATTGTTCAGTAATGTTTTTGAAATATGTAAATATGATTGTACAGCTTGATAAAATGATGTAGTCGTGAACGAAAATTTTCTTCGTTGAATTACTTCATTATAAATACGCGAAGACTCATACACACGTCATCTATCTTGATTTAAACAATTAAGTAGTACACCAAAACTAACATAATTTCGAACAGTCACTTTTACGAATTAACGTTCACAATGCGTTTGTACTTACAAACAGCAGTATCAGATGACTGCAGAGATATTTTAAAATCTTCTTTAAAAGACACGCGAATCATGGGTACCTTACGTACTCTCGCCAGTTTCATGCAGTGTAACGCACTAACATAAATTTCAAATGCAACAAATCGTAATAATTTAAGGGAGAAATAAATGAACATTAAAAACTCTAATTTACATACCAAGTAGTTCAATTCGAATAGACCCAATTCGACCGGTAGAAAGACTTTCAGTATTACCTAAACTCAGAGTACCAATGTTTGTCGTCGTCGAACTGTCTTCAGAGAGCAAATGTACCATGTATAAGCGTCCAGCCATGTCACCCAATAAATAACGCTGAGCATCAACAGCAGCGTAACACAGAACTTGACTTGCCTGAAATGATATACAATTTGATCTCCTTTTTTAACCAAACAACTTAATATAATTTTTAAAGGAATGAAATAAAAAGTCATAAAATACCTAATGATATCAAAAGGTAACTTTGATGAGCTGAGAGGGATCAACAAACAAGATCTTTAACAGTTATAGAACCGCTTCGAGTTTCGTCTACTCAATTCACAGGCAATAGAAGTTCAAAGAAACTACCCTACTGAGAGAAAAAAACAACATAATACACTACAAAAGGTATCTGAGAATTTAAGATTAAGAATCATCTATTACTATTGAATAAGAATATGCATATGAACACTGCTACCTTGATGTAACACATACACACAGAGTTGCATAAGGAATACAATAGTGCCATATCATTGTATCATATCAAATGAACAAAACTAATTTGGAAGGTGACAGCTAGTTGTTTGTATGACATATTCAACCTACAGGTCAAAAAATTGGAAATTCGCTCAGAAACCATGTACAAGTTTGTGCGATAATCACTGAACTATACCTATTGCGTCAAGCACTAATCACCACCAACAGGAGAAATCTAAAGGAAGTTGTCTCGTTCACCTGCCTAGGCAGCATCGTTTCAACTACAGGCGACGGCACACATCAGGATGTCAAAGCCAGTATCGGAAAAGCAAGACAGACCTTCACTGATCCAAAACCAGTGTGGTGATCTACTGCACTCAACTCAGCATAAAGCGTGAATAACATCCGGATTTCCAACACTCATGTCAGTTAAGTCAGCGCTTTTATATGTTTCAGAAACTTGGCGCGTCATGAAAAGCATTTCCAACAAATTACAGACATTCATCAATGGCTGCCTACGCTCAATTGATACTGAAGATCAGATGGCCAGAAAGAATAAGCAAGGAGGAACTCTGGTTGGCAACGAACCAACCAAGAACTTATCGCCCAATAAACATGCAGAAGAAAGTGGAGATGGATTGGGCATACACTGAGAAGACCGATTGGGGACATCACGCACCAGGCCAGGCCCTCGAGTGGAGTCTAAAGGCAAAACGACGAGTTGGGCGTCCCAGCTGAGGATGACATGGAGATCGTGTGAGGAAGAAATGAAAGCTTGTTGGCAGTCGTGCCGCCAGGTTCAAAATACTGCAGAGGACAGAGTGCAATGGAGGCGTGCTACCAAACCCCTATGTTCCACTAGGAACCCAAGGGACAAATAATAATAAAATATTTACAGCTTCTCAGGAACATACCCCTCTAACAGATGATTCTAGACTACAATCATGTCCACCTAAGAGAAAAGAGTTCTTGTATTAAGAAGCAAAATGATTGTTGGCCTGCAATATATTACGATGCTTAAGTCTCCGGTGGAGAAGAATATGTAGTAAATGGAACCAAAACTTGAGTGAAATCAGATTTTCTCCCTCCGAAATCAAGGTGTCGTGTGTTTCGCAAAGAAATATGACATCAGACATTTTGAACGCAACTGGCAACAGACTAGCACAGTCACTTTATGCAGAGATAAATACCACCATGGTCTTTATTGAGGTTACAGGACATTTACTCACTTATGTGTTTTTGAACAATCTAGTCAGATTCGTGACAATAGTCTCACTTGTACCTACGAACAACTTAAGGTAAGTTTTTGGGGCTATGTGCCTAACGGTGTTTTACTACTTGAAGTTCATTCGTGAACTGCCTATTGTTTGCTGGCTCAATTTTTATCGATTATGGCACAAAAGACATTGTAGTTGGAATTGCTAGCGCAACTAGTCAACTGAAATGCTTTTGAAGTCCTCCGCCCAGGACGACAGTCGTCTTTAAAGTTTGTTAATCTGAATACTATCAACACCATAAAGTATTTTGTTAACATCCGGCTTCTTTTAGCCGTTAATCTGGAGTGTTTGGACGCAGAAGTTTTACATGCAAATCGCCTATCCAGTCTCTGGGGCACATTGTCCAACTTTTTCAAAGTTTTAATCATGAACACAACTCAAGGGTTCATGACTTACTTTGCGATCCCAAGTGTTATTGAACGATGTTCTCATTAGACCATAGCACTGAAACAGATAAGTTTTTCGGCACCTTGGGTGAACACCTTAAGAATGTTTGGTGTGGATTCTGTGCTAAATGTACACAAACGACGTTTTAAAACTTGTTTACTTTGATGTCTATGTTAACGGGGGTGAATAAGTTGCGTTTAGTACCTGATTAATGAACATAATGCAATCAAGGAATGCGGTTCATTGGCTTGAGCATTCGACTTTTAAGCAATTGAGTTCCAGGTTCAAATCCCGCTTTATCTACTTCGGCCTGAGTGAGCAGATAGCATCATAACCTCTTCAACAACATGTGTGATACGCAGACTGCCAAATAAGCACATTCAGAAAGGATTCGCGTCATTATTATTTATAATTATCCCTTAAGACAATTAAAGAGCAGATAAGAGAGAGCAGGTAAGTGAAAACACCTTACAGTTAGACCTAAGATTGTAAAACAATGCTTGATAGACAGGTAGACAGACAGAGAAAACCAACGTAGAACCACGCACAGAAGTGCGTCGGCTCAAGTTGCCACATACATGAAACTGAATAACTGCAGAAAGTTTACGAATAAAGGTGAGATTCAGCCCCGTAAAATTGTGGTTGCTTAGTGTAGGCGAATCACTAAAACATCATGTATAGTGCAATCGAAAAGCACAACAGCTGTAAGGTGACAATGACTTAGTGACTACTATATTTAACAATCCAAATGCTTGCATAGTACAAAAACTTGAAAAACGTTCAGCCATAGGAAACCCCGTTTTCAGCAACTAAGAGAAATAATCATTAGCTTCGAACCAGCTTAAGAGATCACTTAATAAACATACAAAATATAAAATTTTCCCATAATTCACAGATTTTTTGACCATTGATCTAAATCATATGGACTGATTGATTGACAAAATCAATGCAGAACCTAGCATACAAGTCAATCCACTGAAGTTGACACACTTCACAGTAGTATACAAAAAACATGTGGATAGAAAAAGAGGGATATCAAGATAGATAAAGTTGTGGGAAAGAATGAACGATCTGAAGACAACGGCTAGTGCGAATATTCAAGACTTAAAAGATGTCAAGTAGTGAATATATCTGGGCCATTGCGACTGATTTTCAGCCATGTCACCATGTGTTCTCAACCACTGATTCCCAACGTCCCGCGGACTCCAACCATATAGTCAACATCCCACACGGCTCAGAATACCAACAGTCCGGAACTTCATCGACTGATACCTCTTATTGGTCTGGCCACCCTGAGCCCTCTTACAAACTAATCCAACTTCCCCTAGCGTTGCACGTCGAGGTATGCGGTGGCTTTGCAAGCGCGACACATGTCAAAGCCACCTCAGTTGATTAAGGTTCACAACCTCAACGATCGACTTGTGTCTTGCCAAGTACCCTTCTTCAGGCATCAGCATTGCTCGCGCACTGATTCCGCCAAATGCGAGCAATGCTTAGAAGGCATCTGTGATCAAAACCCTGTAACCGCTTCATCTCAACCTTTAACGATCATGTCTCATTGACGTACAACAGGACAGAAGGGACTATAGCGCAACATGCTCGTCCTTTAATAGGTAGTCGGATATTTTGCTGGCACTACAGGTGACGCAAACTGGCAAACGCCAAACGGGTCTTCCATATCACAGCTGAGATTTCGTCAGAAACTAACCCGTTAGGGCTGGTGTAACTTGCCAAGTAAATGAAGTGGTCAACATATTCCACGACTTCACTCCCTATCATTAAACTGGGAATACTTGCAGCAGACCAGTCCTGGAGCATCATCTTACATTTTCACGGGTGCGGTTAAATGCATGCTAAACATACTCAGACTTTTGCTCAACGTGTTCAAAAGACCCTGCATTTCGTCAGCGTCTTGACCCAACAGGAACAATATCGTCTGCATACTCCAAGTCAACCAGATGACCCTCAGGGGGTAGGTCAATCCCTCTGAAGTGAGACGTATTTAGGGTTATGTCCATTAGTACGCCTGTAACGAAGTTAAATATGAACGGTGAGTAGACATCCATGGCGAATACAACTAGTTCTCGTAAATTCTGACGACAACTCTCCATACGCTCTTACAAGGTTGCATGAGTTCGAGTAGAGAGCTTTGGTAACCAATGCATACTTGCTCGATACTCCCTTCAGTTGGACACTGGTTGTCACATCTCAGCCGATAGAGTTGAATAACACCATCAGATTAAAGAAATATGGTGTGTCGACCGTCGGTAAGTATCCCTGTGTCCTGGAACCTGTCAGGGGGTAAAAATATGACCGATGTACCCTCGCTCAGCTCTGCCTGGAACCTACCTGGTGGTTTCCACAGGATTGCTGCTCTCGAGCTCCAGTTAGGTAACGGGTAACTATGGGCCCTAGGATCTTGGACAATACCAGTCGAACTAATTCCTCCACGGTTTCCACAAGAGGATACCTCTCCCTTCTTATAGACTGCGATGAACAGTGAAGTATACATATAGGAATGTAGGCTTCCTATGTGATCTCATCTAAAAGAAAATAGATAGCTGGAGACTTCAGGCGTCATGACATAAAATCGATCACAGTGATGCAGATGCATTTATCCCTAATTTTAATCTGAATCTTTGAAATCTTACGATACACCTTTGTTCGCCTTATTTCCTTTTATTCTGAAATTCTGGTTTTCAAAAACTATTACTTCTTCTGAATTGTCTTCTCTTTTGCCAAACTCCAATATACCGAGATGAAATCTGGCAACTTGAAGCGATTTATACTCAGATCAGTTCATTTTGTTTTTCTGATTATTTACTACGCCTGGTGGATTAAATAATCTGTCGAGATATTCTACAGTGCTATTTATAAGTCCGTTTTTATTCTTAGTAATTCCAGCAACCACTAATCTTCGAGCCTGAAATCTGTTGATTTATATGGCAACCGACTAACTGGGGTCCGCATGCTGACTCGTATGTACGTTCCTGGTGCATCTCGATGCTATTAAGTAAAAGCCTTATAATCCAGCACAACTAAATTTCCATTTATATCAGTAACCCTGTACTGCTTCATATATGAGGCTATCGAACGAACGAAACGCACTCAGCTACCTTGTGCACATCTGCGCAGTAGGCAGTGAGCTACACCTATTGTCTGAGGGCTAGTGATAACACCTGGCTGTCCAAACCTTGGTAGATGGAGCGGGGCTCGAACCCGTGAGGCAATAGTTGGTGGTCATCCCCCTTAACCACAGCCACAGCTTTATATTGCGTTTTAAACTACAGTAATCGGTCCATAGTTAAAAAAACGGTAGCTGAGAATAAAATAAGTAGGATGGGCTTCTAATTCTCGACTCAAAGCGCAAACTAACGCAACACACATCTCCGTAACTCAGAACGTGTCCCCGTAAGTTTAGACTTTGTTGACAAGATACCTGTAATTCAACGAGTGAGAGTATATGACGTCTTTGTAGGACGTAATACATCGGAAAAACGTTACTTACAATTCATAAGTAAAAACATTTAGGGATTTAAGATTCATCTCTAGACGTTTCCTTCTCTTGCAAATCAAGTTTAACGAGAAAATATTTCTTTCATGCAACTTATTATGATTGACTCTGGGCTAATGTTTCTCTTAACAATACAAAACACCATATGGGGTTTCCTGCGGACTAAAAATGAGAATCCCCTTAATGAAAATCGGATGGTTACATACATGCACACACAACGACAAAAATTCCATTTAATATCTACATACGCAATACGGAGCTAAAGGAAATCCAAGAATATCAACTTTCTTTATACCCAATCCTTTCAGTCTTCCCAACAAGACAGTTTAAAAAACAGTATATTTATTTATGAAGACACACATGACCTAAATGGCTGCTGGAACTATTTAAAAACTCAGAGAACTTTATGGAATTGACTTGTAAAATGAAATAGTGGAGCTGTGTTCCATGGGTTTAAGTTGATTTCTAACCAGTGGTTCGCAAGTTCGAACATGGCTTAGAACCGATGTCAGTGGCGCAGATGTATACACACACATTATCCTCATCCTAACACTATACCAATCCTCACCATTTTGTCATTCGTCCTTTCTTTCTCCTCGTACTTCATATTTCTTTTGACTGAATTTTCTTATGTTCATCTTTCGCCTCACTACCTTTCTACTTGATGTACTGATATGAGGTATGGCAACTCGGACCGTTACGCGGTAATGCCTGGTCCTATGTTGATACTGATGATCATGAAGTTCGAACATTGGCCCACCTAACGAAGTTTGCGTAGCCCCGTGGTATAAATAGTCTTCACAATAGATGTGGCCTATGCCCTACTGCACGAATACGCATAGTTGCTGAGTAGATTTCGATTTGATTCGAAATTGAAACTAGTATGTAGCCAAAACACATGACTACCATGGTAAATGGATAGGTACCAAAGTGTGTTGCATCCAGTACCCTGTAATCATTACCGTTATGGCCAAACAAACCACCTGACGCTACAGAATCCTTAGTATTCGACATGGTTACTCGACTGATGAGATTCTACCACAGTCGACAAATGTGGTCAGAACCTTAAATGGGTTATCAAAAGAGCACGGCGGACACACTAGGCCTGCTGGCAGGTAGGATCTACGCACTTTATAGACTATCTACGGAGTTGGAAACTGTAGAGGGAGGATGCACCAATATGCTACCAATTCTTTTTTGTTTCAGCATGACCATGAAATGAAAGTTTACACACACACATGCACCGCAATCAATGTACACCCATATGCTACTAAGAAACTAGAAAGAGAAACTCACTTTTGCTTGTGGTATGTATTGGGATATATGGGGTCCATCTTTAGTATGGTAGCAAATAATATTATCACCAACTAAAATAACGCCCCCATAAGGTTTTGGAACTGGAATAAGAAGTTTTGAATCCGGTTCGATAGAATCCAGCGTCAGTTGAACATTGCGGAGCGCAGGTTCTCGTCCGTAAATTTCATACGTTTTCATATGCAATACAAGTTCATCTTCATATATCATGGCAAAAGTCGGTAGGCTATAGCCGTATATAAAGGCCATGTCAACAATGTTACCCTCCTCAATCCTTAAAAAAATGAAGTATTTTAGAACCTCACTAACCTCACGCTGTAAGTATTTACAGTCCATTGATTTGTATCCAAAAAGTCAGTACCGATTTTGTCCCCAATACAGTGAAGCAATATGATTTTTAACAGGCCATGGTACAGCCTTACAACAATGTAGTTGGCACCTGGGTCGATCAAAACATCGAATCCCTGGTCAATTATTCGTGCACTTCGATCCTACAACTGTTATTGAACCACAAAATTTTCACTACTTCTACACTTCCTGAAGCTACAGTTACAAATTCGATCGAGTCATTACTCCGAACACATTCAATGATGGCCACGCCCGCCTTGTGAGTAAGTAAAAATAACGAATCTGTTTCCCGATCCTAAAGCTTAGAACATCACACAGAAAAACCACCTTTCGTCTAAACAAACTGGCGGCAATTATTTTAGCGTTAATGGGCACATCACGTATTAACTTTAAGCCCTCACATGTAACCTCGAAAACTTCGACATAAGTATTCTTACATATGAGCAAGTTTAAATCATTTGGACTGGTGAAGTGACCTGAACAGAATCTTTTGAATAAAATGTGCAATTACCTGTACACGTTTTCACCACAGCAGTAGGACGCTGCGTAGTCACGTGGTAAAAGTGTGCCATTAATACAAACTCAATACCAAAATCCTATGTTCACGCGCCTTAATTCGCAAAGGTTATCCAATGCTCAATGAAAAAAGCACTTTATCTTTCGGTCCTCATGCAAAGGAAGTATTGAGCTGCAAGAAAATGCATTCTGCTCCTGTAGTCTTACACCCCATCCGTTCAATTCATCTAATTCCATTGGAGTACTAACCTATCTACATGATCATTCAAAAAACCCAAACATAAACGTTATTTTCAAATAACATGAATGTTGACATGAGTATATCTGGTGATCCATTACTATACAGCAGAACAAAATGGGTCTATCTCTCACACAGTTTCGGGCTACTTACCAATCTAACCATCGCTTCACTACAAGTAGAAAAAGAAGCCATTTTTAGTAGGCCGTACTCCGCCGGTTATTACCTACTGAAAAGATCTCACTAAAAAGGTTCTGTAAGTTTTTGTCTTGTTCCATATCTTATTAAGCCCAGGCATCTAAGTTTTTATTGACAAGCTAATTAGGTATTCTACCATACCCATGGCTTTGTCCTTGGTATGCAAGGCTTTTTAGGGCAGTCAGTACAATCATACATAGGTTACTCTGCATATTCAGTGAGACGTTTAGTAATGAGAGTCTTGGAAGAGTTCTGAACCTACTCGAGCGTTTTTTCAACTCAGATGTATACAACAGGCCTCCGTAAACGATTCCCAGAAGCTCTTTCTCTTGCCTAACAGCCTCTGAACCTGACTATTAACTAAAGGATGTTCATGATAGGGAATCCTTGGTATCTACAGAAGAATGGAATAAGGCGTGACTACTTCCAACACCATCCTGAAACTCCATCTACTCCTTTCGACGGTCAGCCTTGTAATGATTGTCCCGTCTGCTCACGTGGTGATACTGCTAATCATCGCCGAGTCTGCCCGCCAAAGACTTGATGCGGAGAGGGGAAAGTCGCAAACCGAGTCATCAGTTCTACATTTAAATCGTCAGTATTTTCCATTGCTGGCAGTTACTGGAGGTCAGTCATATCCTGGTATAGGCGAATGGAGACCAGATACAATGAGGAAGGCTCATATTCTGGATCGAAGAGCGTAGGAACAACCATATTTCACCCCACAGCACACTGAAGGGTAGCTGGTGGCAGCTCGGTGCAGCTGTAGGCCCCTTCCAGCTCACCTGGGGAGCGCACAAGTACCTGACTGCTGGGCACTAATTCATTATGCCCCATCTACTCAGACAGCTAAGTATCAAGTTATCCAATGGTAACACATTTTCGCCTCGACCTAATGCCGAAACCTGGTACTTTGCATGTACTACTGGGTGTAATTCTGGCTCCTTCGAATGTTCTTTTATACCTCCTTCAATATATATACATATATTTACGCAGATAGGGTCCATTTTAAGGGTCTAATCACCTCGCCAAGGAAACTGAAGGATGGTGAACATGCCCCACTTACCGTACCTAAAAATTTGGAACATATGGGCGGAACCATTCCATGGACGTGTGGCCTGCCAGAAATACATAAACCCGAGATGCCTCGTCTCACACCCAAGGCATGACTAATTTGCCTTGCAACGTGGTTGTCAAGCGGCCAGTACGATTACTCGGAAGTTCACATGGTGAGTCAGCAAAATGTAGTTCCACTCCGCATGGAAAGCAAAAGATCTAAATGTATTAAACGAATTCCTGGGATCTGTTACACCACACCTTTGGTTGTTAGCACCCCTCTAATGGAAACCATGAAGTACATTTGTGAACAGTTATTAGAAAGGAGATTAGACTGTGGCATTCATACTGTAAATTTGATAGCAAAGTTGCTAGGATGCACGATGAATTTCCAGTTCGTCCTCGACGGCAATCTGCATAGTTAAATCAAGAGAGTGGTTTTGATACCTCCATTAAACGCTACATTAGCAGAATATCTCTGCTAAAAATGGAAAATTGCCCTATGGAAGATCAAACTGCCAGCATGGAGTTGTACTGTCAATATTTAGATCAAATGTTTGGTCTTCTATACATACCTATGCGTTAATTCCTATCCGAATAATCCCAACAGGATTCATCCATCAGTTCATTTTACCTGTGAATATGAAACCAACTTCCATAACCATTTTGCTATCTGCTAATAGTAATAAAAAAGATGGCTCTATACTGAGAAGCAATGCGAGAAAAACATATCGGTCATAGCGTATATTCTTGCTCAGAGCCGTGCCGATGAAGTACGAACATAATATTGTCAGGCGCCTGGTATTTAGGGTGAGAGTGATTTGTTCCGAGAAGTGTGTGGAAGAAGAGAACTTATGTAGCCGTGATGTTTGAAGCGAAAACAGGTGTCCTGAAAAGTTCGTCATGGCCACCATAACTGTGGGAAAGCCTACCCAATCCAAGCTTCTCATCTTGCATATGCCGGCTTAGCCGTTCTTGTGACAATGATAATAATTTACCTTGCATAAAGAGTTATACGAACATATGCCGCTTTTACGGGCAACATCTAAATTTAAATGCTCTCAGTACATCTGAGAGAAAGTAGAAAACATAGGTCTCAACGCTGCCTATAGTCTACAAGGCACGTTTGAAGTTGTTACGTTTAAATGTGATTTCATAGCAGCATCGTAACTCTGCTATCAGCGTCGTCATAAAGCTATTCGAGTTTTCATTTGGCTAGCCACACATCAGGCATGCAACTAGATATGGGTAATGAACGCCTAAAGCACGGATACAACTATCTGTAGAACAGTGTGGCAACAATACCCAAATATTGATGGCAACGAAAATATATTCCTCTTTCAACGGCACAGATGAATCAACTTTTACTCCAGTTGAACGCAAGAAGATGATCACCAGGTTGGCTAAGCCGGTTAGAGTTAGTGGTCCAACATTCGATAAGGCCGCAACACCAAATGTTGCAGTAGACGTAAAGCATGACGTAAGCTTTGTGCCTAATGTGAAACTTCAGCCACCGGGTATGACTCTTTCACCCCTCTCAGAAATCAGAAGCCTGAAGTCCCCTATGCAGGAACCAGGGCAGACATGTACACAGTGAAGGACTGTAAACAGAACAGCACACTACACGAAAATGCGATAAAAACGTCCTCAGTATCATCCCAGCTGGGTGAAATCAAGGCTCACATTGGCAATCTCTCACCTCTGAGCACCTTAAAGAATAGCGAATTCATCAACCAAATGGATGTCGAAACACTAATCAGGGCAGACCGCCTGGTAAACTTTATCACCAACGAAGTAAGAAACTTGCGCTAAAACTCAGTGCACTAGTTTAGAACATCCCTGACACGAGAAAGTTGAAGGTGGGGCGAGAAAGTTTCCTTACAGCAGCAAAAATTCATGCTGCCCATGTGAAATGTCCCCGACTAAAATGAGGCCAGCAGGAACCCTGACGTCTTACACACCTTCAGTTTGGGGCACATACAAAAACAGAACGGTTCGTATAAGCAGCAATAAAGATGGTTGTTGGCAAAACAGTGGTGGAAAGGCAGGCGGATAAATTTGCTCATGGGCCGGGCAGTGAGAAAACCTCAGCCGTAGTGCATTACACTAAAAAAGTGAGTAGCTCCCTCAACACACCGAAATTTTAACATTTTGCTCTCCCTGAACCCCTTGTTGAGTGTGTTTTGATTTTTTTCTTCTAATGCATTCAACAACGTCGGCGACACATTTTCAAACGTTCGAGAATAGCATCATCTGGTGCTCACATTGGTTAAAAGGCTCTTTTAAAAACAGTATAGTACTTCTCAGAGCCATCAACAAATGTATACAAACTGCCAATTTTGTGCACATTCAACTGGGCAATAAACCTTTGCTGTTTTTTGCCGCCTCCTTCTGTCTTCGGGGAACCGAGTGGTTATCAAGGGTGAAGTCCATGGTTATTGTTCGAGAGCCCACTCTCACATAGTTATGCATGTATGTATATCTGATGGAAGGATATATCAGACGACTTCGCAGCAGTCCAGCCTAATCCCTCGCTACTGAGAAGAACCAGTGTCAATCCATCTACAATGGAACATCATCGAGGTGCGATGTGAACAGGAACTTTGAACCACTGTGTGTCACTAGCTTGCAAGGAAACATCCCTAATCCAGCACTACACTAGTTGTATCCTATGGGACTTGTAACAGAAGGTGAGGAATATAACGTGAAGCCAAAGTCGGCGTGAGCCACAAAGGCACAAGACTTTTTTATCCACCGCATCCGTATCAGCTGCAGCCCTGGTCGAACAATTCATGAGGATATCGGAGCCCCCTACTCTGAACCGCTAATCTTAGCTTTCTCTGGGCAACAAGAAAGATACAACCGACTATACACACAAATTCCAGACACCAGCCATCTAAGCGGCATCCACGGATCCGGATACACGGTAGGTCAAGTGACTCCTCCCAGCGGTATCACCGGCTATACACCGCCATAACGTGTAGGAGACACACTAACTACCCTCTGTGAAACGGATACAGATGCAGCCGACTGCGTTTGAGCTGGGGCAGACTCAGTGTGTGGAGGTGAAATGCACACTCAATACTTTAAATGAAGATATTACTCCGTTCTCCTCGTGTAAAGCTGACGTTATTTCAAGTCATTCTGCGGTCGACTTACCACCAGGATATTCCAGTAACAATACGAGTGAGGAAGGTGTAGATAATTTTGGTGACGCAAAGACGGGGGCTACGCTGAATCAAGCAATACTGAGACACCTTTTGATCTGTTTAACGATTTCGAAAGCTTTACACATTGGTGATTCTCCCACTTTAATAAATATTTTATTCACAAATTAAGAGTTTAACATGAGAGAAGCCAGTTTACAGGCGTCATCAAATTGACAATGATGAAGAAATCTCCAGTAGTTGAGCTATCATGAATGATACAGACGGTATGTCATCAGGGTTTACCATGATATCGAAGGTGACTGCAAGTTGTAAAAAGAACAGAAAAATATCACTTCACAATGCATGCAGACTTTCTATGAGTTTCGGTTGTCTCCACTCGCCATTCTTTTTTCAC